ACAGTTTTATATTGTTGATACAGTTGCTATACCCTACATTCTAACGTTTTCATTTTTCATGAGACCAAATCTTGAAACTTACCATATCGCCACCGGTTGACGCTGACGTAACTAAGTCTGCAGTACAGTATTTTCATGCCTGGCCTTCTTACGTAAAGTCTGCGGCAGACTTTTGTAACTGAATAAAGAGCACGCGAATTGAGATATAATGTAATTGGTACTCCCGTAGTATGTGTACCAGGTTTGGGTTAGGTCATAATTCCATTCCGATTTTCCTTATTTTATTACGAGTTCGGGGACTGTCTGTGTTAGCCAAGTGAATATACTCCCCGCGGGGCGCGCATAGGTTTCAGTCCCTTTATACAACATGATGTAAAGTAGGCGAACAAAATTAGTTACCTCCATGTTGGTACATACATTTCTGGAGCGTCGTGTAATATACATAATAAAAATATCGTAACACACCAACGCAAATTTTAGAAACAATATTCATATTCTTGTTGGCCGGAAACCATGCGGTACTGTATTTAAATTAATGCAATACCTATTCTACTCTATTCCTATATGTTTATATATATAGAAAATATGTACCAATGCAAGACAAATCCGAAAGGTTATATGTTAGCAAAACTTTGCTAAATCGTACCACTTCGTTACTTCACTTCCTACATGTTACGTCCTATCACTTAAAATCGGAACTGTAGGCATCTTCCATATTCATATATCACAAACACTTTATATTTATAAGTGACTGTAATAGGTTCGAAATATCGTGTTTACTACACACCCGCCATTACGTCGCTTCAAATAACATAAAATTCATAAACTTTACTCGAATTTCAGAGTGATTCAATCTATAACGAGTTCATGGAATTATTAGTCTATTCATTTGCGAATGAGAAGTTGATGGTTTGAGCCCTTACGTTGGTGAGCGGTGGTATATAACGCCGATTCGGTGACTGAATACAATAATTCAACGATTGTGCAAGAACAGTTAATTTTTTGCTTTTTTTTACTACATCTACCAATAAATAAGTTATGTTGGGTAAATTGTTTTGTTGGGTAATATGTTCAATTGTGGGCGGGGAGAGCCGAACAAAGACATAAAAGGTTAAGCCGCCATCTTTTCTTTCAGCATGAATGTAACAAATTGAATGAGTCGAGCGTTGTAATCTACATTCAATAAATTCCTGGTAAACGTCCTATAATAACTATAGCTTGCGGTAAATATTATTGTAAGCTTGAATAAAATTATGTTTTTCCGTTTTAATGTTCGATTTTATTTGTTTTCGAGATAAAATAGTATTTCGAACAATTTAGTACAAAATGCCATAAATTAAATGAATACGTCTGTTACTAATTTGTAAATTAACTGAGGATTGACACCACAGAATAAATACCAAAACTGATCATTAAGACACGGCATCTCCTCTTCTAAATCTTAGTTTTTTCTGTTTATTTTCTTAGCTTTAAATAAATAGTTATACTGAAAATTTGAGGTTCTGATCCCATACAAACTGATCCCACAATCTCTACTATGAGTATAATAGTCAATATGTGTAGTCCGTGGTTCTATCAATAGGCAAGATTTTTCTAAACGATTTTCAAATAGATCATCGCTCTTTCCAATAAAGTAGGCAACGGGTTTAGCATACCTATTGGACAAATTCATTACAAAAAGTTTGACTGTTTGGTGAAATTCTACTGTTGGAATCAAAAGTGAGAAAACTTGGTATGTTGGTTTCTGCATAAGTCTAGTCGCTTGTCTAATTACTTAATAATTGCTGTTTCTCGAGAATTTCCGCAAATTGTTTACGGAACTAATTTGTTGTATACAAACTATGTTGGATTCGGCGGCTAATTCGAAACAATTTTCGAAAACTGGGTATTAGAACAACCACAGTATTAGAACAGCTAAAAATTTCTAATTCCTCTCGAGACGCGCGCTCATTGCACGCGAGTGTCGTTTATCGCGCATCGTTCGATAAACTTTAATTATATTCCTGACAGATAACATCCGTTCTGGCGTTCTTATCCAATTTTTATTTCTAAAAATAAAAGTTACGCAATGAATGAATAAAATACTTCAATAGTAATTTATGAAAAGCATTTTTGTAACATCTTTTCGTTCCGCAATGTTTAGTATCTGGAGGCGATACATTGAAAATTCAAATCTAGAAGAAACGGGATGCCTGTCACGCAAACATACTAAAACATCAAGTCGAGCTAAAAAAAGTTAGATAAAAAAATTCATGAAAAAGAAAGGTTTTTACTTCTATGAGATTTAAGAGCATACTGTTCAACAATCTGAATTATAGTCTGCATATTTCCATTCTTTAAATCCATACAATTTATAAATACCGTTACTAAGTATCCTGATTGACTTCGAATACTTTGAAGATGAAAACATCAGACTCCAAGTATGAACATGTATGGACTTGAGCGTTTCATCTAATAGTGAAAGACTGACTGACTTGCAACTTAAAGGTTGATAATGGTTTGATGAAATCAATAATAAACATCATGGAATTGGAAAAATAAAAGTGTATTTGACAACTGAATATTAAAAATTCAAAATATTGTAAATTTTCCAAGCGACGACAGCAAAAGCTAAATTATCGGCTATTGAGTATTGATTCTTTTCTTTTCACCCGCTCTATAGCTTTTTCCACGATTCTGTCCTCGGGGTTATAACAAACTGTCTCTAGCCGGACCTCACTTAAACGCGGCATACCGACGCGGGAAAGGCAAGAGCATGTGGCTATTGCTTAGCCTTAGCAGTAATAAAGACACCGGGCAAAACGTCGAAAGGTCTTAACGCAGCGACAAAAGCGAAAACATTATGTATTTTTACCCACTTGAGTGACATTTTAAACATAAAATGTCGGATCTGGATTTTATGCTTGGTGGGGAAGAATATTAGAGCTGGCAAGGGTCACACTGAATGGCTTGGTGGGCCGGGTTGTGGCCCGCCGGCCGCCTGTTGCACACTTTTGCTCTATGGCTTTTCCATGACCCTGTCCTCCTGGTTGTGCCAAACAGTCTCTAGGTGCAGGTTTGTGTTGCAACTGTATGCTAGGTGTTTGTTGAATACAAGTTGAATTTCTTTCTCAAGAATACACTCGACGCATGTATTGGATTGTATTGCCCTGTAAATTAATATGCTGGATATGTATAGGAAACTTATTCACTGTCATCTAGCGGATAAATAATTGAAGGAGAACGGAGAATTTACTTTCTTGTTTTGACAACATCTAACTCAGAATCTGAGTCTGTTGTAAGTCATGTTTACACCAGAAATAATCTCATTATCATAAATATTTCACCAAATTAGGAGATTTATCTGAGTCATTTCTGTTTCGTGGAGATGTTACATGTTTAATTAATTAAGATATTTTTTACGTGAATGATTGTTTTCGAGTCAAGTTTTTTTATCAACCTGCGAACAAATTTATTGCAGTGTTTCAAAATCAAATCCTCGAAAGTCCTTGATCAATGACTTCGGCCAATAGGCTATGTTACTGACCAATGCTCCTTCAAATCTTTGTTAATTGTGATTTTCGATCATAATTAGTAGAACTTGAGACAACAAAATGAAGTACAATGTATTGAAACGAATTGAATGTTATGTTACGTGCAAGTTTTACATTGATGTATAACGAGTTGTTTAATTCTGTGTGACACAAGTTGACATTTATATTCTATACTCGAACTAGGTAAAACGAAAATAAATCGGAAATAAAATGCTTCGTTGACCACTATGAAGTTTTTTGCTTGATATTTGTCCAAACGTAGGTTGTGCAGCATCAATTGTGACAAGCCTATTCATTGCATGGTCTAACTGGAATGAGAGATTAAAATGAAAATATTCTTGCAATCTGATGAAATTTTCGTCGTAACTAGAATTTCTTTCCATTCGCAGGAATGAGATAAACACGCACGATAAACTCACTTTAATTTTATTGTCACATTCGATATAATATGTAGTTTATTTAATAAATAATATCTGCCTAGGTATCGTTCCTAGAGAGACTGATCGCCGATACTCCCAAGTTACCCACAAACACGAGAAAAATTTTCGATTGATTTTTATTATACCACGTAGCATTCAAGCAAGATCCAATATAATGCACCAGTTTGAATTCACAAATTCAAGCTTTCTTTGCACGAACGATTCAGGAATTTTTACAATGGCCTCAATTTCAACACCAAAACAGGTGTGGTTATTCATTCAATTGATTGAATGCGTTGACATATCAAAATATATAGAATAATGAAATCGTTTTCTATTCATTATGAATTACGATTGTTTACATAGCAAACGCTACGGTAATTTTGTTGGATAATGGCACCTTAAAACGTGAGTACAGCACGCGTGCAATAAACAATTCGTAATGAAAAATCAACCTTAAACAAGCATGATACTGATTAAAATTCAAGTTTTAACTCATTTCATGTATGTGCCCTACGTCATTGCATTGTACCTAGATGACAAGAAAAAAAGTGAAGGTTCGTTGCTTGCATTGTAAAATTTTCATTCTACACTTGCTGAGACTGACACTCCTTAAAATTGTAAGACCTAGTTGGAATAGTTTGAAAGGTCTCTTATCCGATAAATCTACTTTGTTTTACTTCAGTTTGATATAGAGAAAGTATCTGAAAACCGGTAGCCAGAATAAATTAGTTCGGTCGACTGACATAATGCTATGAACATAAATTTAGCAGTTTTTTGTGTGGAAATCTTAGGCGAAACCAATTCGTAGGCTGCTGCTGCAATGAATGATATGATATTGTGTTCTGAGTAAAACCTTTTAAACAAAGGATCAGATTAGCTCCATGAAGTTGAAGTTATTGATGAAACAATGAAGAACTGTCCCATGTCCTGTAGGGATGTGTCCGCTCACAGATACAGATTCAGTAAACGCATGTAACTATATCCACAATAAAAATTGCATCATTTGTTCAAATATTATGTTTTCATATTTTTTTTTGCTACTCAAAAGTTAGTCAATATTAATAATGCCTGTCACAATTCATTTCGGAGGTAAGTTAAAACTGCCGTATTAGAAAGATCTTTCCTCAAACAAATATTCTCGAGTTGACAATCCAGCTTTGTATGCGCATCTCAAGTTGGGGTTATGGGTTAACCAAGATTAATTTTCTATCTCTCTAAATCAAGCCGTATGCACTTTTTCCATAATTTTGAAAACCTCATTTTCAGTGTGAGATAATATTATGTCGAATCTCACTGAATTAAAATTTGTTGTATTAGCTCTGTGTGTACGCAAGGTCGTAAGTTGGCGCTAAAAGATCAATTATATATTTCGATTTCGAAGTTTGGTCGCAAGTGGTAGCTATATCTTGGAAGAAAGATCATGGGATCAAATAGATCTGCACAAAATGCTATCTTTGTTTCGGCTTTTTAACCATTGGAGTTCGAATGGATGAATTATGATTATAACTGAATAAAGCCAGTTAAAATTATTTTATTACGGAGCTTAAAATTCTTGGCTCATTCCACTTTTTCGTTACTTTTTTTCCAATAATAATTCAGCTTTGTGACGTCACCCTGATTTTTTTTGAATTTTTGTTTAGATTGCCAAAAACTTCTCTGCAATGCTGTTTGTTATGGCTTTCATTTTATGAAATATGTGAAAAAGAAATGCGGTATATCGGAAGATGGTTAGTAGTAAACTAGAGAAAGTTGTAATTCCTATTATTCTTGATCACACCCATTGTCGATTTGGTACCGATGTATGTGAAACAAGATGGCGGGCACCGGAACGTAGTATATGTACCAGGTTAGGGTTACCCCATAATTTCAGGTAGAGATACTACGGGAGTCACTTGGCTAGTGCCCGAACTCGTAATAGAACTAAAATAGGGAAAAATGAAATAAAATTATTGTCTAACTTGGTACACATACTACGTTCCGGTGTCCGCCATCTTGAATCACATACTACGGGAGTACCGTCGATTTGGTAAAGAAAAAACTTCAACGATTAATATTACATCGATAGTTGAATGGGAGCGTGCAAATAAATCGGAAACTTCAACAATAACTGGTGCTACTATCGCGCGATGTTTTCGACTATATGTCGCCTGTCAAAGTGCACAAAGGGTTAATTTGGCAATTTTTAGGAGTTAATCCAGACGTTCACTGTTTTAACAATTTCTTTTGTGATTTTTGTATTTTGGATTTGTCTGTTGAAAAGCTGGGAACTCAATGCTCGCATCTAGACAGTTGGCGGCATAATAACATTAACAATACTTCACCATACGGTGACCGTACATTTGAACCCACGTACATTTGAACCCATGTGTATATTCGCGGGTTCAATCTATATACGGGTGCTAAACCCATGGGTTAAGGTTAGTATGGGTTCAAATATCCGTAAAACAACAAAATTTCAATAGGTGCAATAGTATGCAGGTGCAATCGTCGTGAGTTCAAATGTAATGGAACCCACCATACAGTTTGGAGTCTAAAACGATGAGCTAACGCAAGTTTAGCATCTTAAAGTATGATCGGAAGATTCAATAGGTGTATTATTGCCATTTTGGTCAAAAAAGGTGATGACGATATGACTACTGTATTTTTGTGAACGGGGTAATTGAGATTTCGGTTTTAAAAAGTTTGAGAACCACTTACCTAAGGTTACCATGGCGAGATAACATGTATAAAAACAAACCTTACCCTGCAGTACTTTCTTGAGGTAGATCTTAGCCAAGTATTTCCAAAGAAGGGGTTCTAAGATTTTTAATTGCCAAGTTAGAGACCATAATAGCTAGCCGGTCCGGCCGGAGGAGGGGGTTGAGGAGCTAAAAAGCGTTTCAAGTTACACAAAATGCTATTATATTGAAAAAAATAATTTTTTTTACATTACAAAAAGGGGTGGGAGTTCCGACTCGCTGAATACCCCCTGGGTACGCCTCTACTGTGGTAGATCTCGCGTGAGCAGCCCAATAAATATATTTTGAGAAACATCAAACAAAGTTCTGAATAAGATTTATCTACGGCCAATTGCATTGTTTGACGTATATCTTCACATTTTCAGCTGAAATTGTTTTTACCGATCTCAGAGGTAACGTGAAGGAGGTCGAAGAAAGTTTAGACGAATACGCAGATTCATCTCTGACGTCGATGGACGGTGAAGAATTTGTAATGGTTGAAGTTTGTAGAGAAAATCGCTACAGCCATTTAACCAAATCATGGCAACCAATTGTGACGTATAAACCCGCGTTGAAGAATAAAAAGATTGTCAATTCACAGTTCAAAGGTAAAATACAGCGTCTACTCCTCGGCTATTTTAGCTAATAAACTTTCTTCGTAAGCCGTCGGTCTGCCATGTGTACTATGAACATTATTATTACATGGTTTTTACCCAAGATATGTTATCAAATCCTATAAACTGACGAGCGAATTACTTCTTCAAATCAGTTGTTCGTGGACAAAAATTTTGTGCAAAAGTACTGCTGAATTAACGGGTGCATATTATATTGGTTGTTTTTTGGAGTCAGAATAACTCTAAGACCTAACACATGTCTTGTGTGTCGACGGTTAACAAAGCACGTTTTTTGTCAATACCAAATTTATTACCATCTTCATAAGTCGATTCAAATTTTAATTGTTGCACGAATTATGCGAAAGCGTTATAACGATTGGTTCACTAGGACGTTTTGAGTGCAGTTTGCGGAAGTAGTGTTTACTTGGAACAAAGCCACGATAATAAAAGGACAACCATACAAAATGAAGTTATATTTTCAGCTCGACTTAAAGTTCACAATGATCGTTTACTGGATGACCATCATACGAAGTCGTATGCATATATGGTCAGAGAGTGTGGTATAACACGGAGAGGAACGCTGTGAAATGAAACAACGGATATATCCTGAATGAATTACTAATGTGTTTTGTTTATCACACCTTTTTTAGTTTTCATACGCGGCATCATATTGCAAATTTTCGTTATGCAAAAGGATTATAATGATAGCAAACTTTTTATAAAAACGTATATTATCCTAGATGTTTTAGTCCCAAAACAATTCACTGTTGTACTTTTCGTTGATTACTTATATTATTATATTACATAGATAGACTAACCATAAAGTCTAAATATTTTTTTAAATTACAAAGAGAAATTATCGATACCATGTATTGTTTTGGCCCTCTCAGATAGATAAAAATTCTTAAACAATTACTGATTGAAAAACAGCATACCTGGTTAATATATATTGAGAAGTGACTTCATAACAAATTTGAAATTGTAAAGGGACTTCATGGACACACCATGTATAGAATATATCACATTGGTATAACGTTAATCAAGAAAAGTAGATGATGTTCTTGCTGACGCATTCTTGCATTTTTTTAATATTTTCACAATGTTCAACATCGTGTAATTGCATACATGTTAACTGTCTCTCATAGATCGTAACAAATTGGTCGTAAAATTTTACGACTTTCCACGACGTTGCAATATATCAAACTATATTGTACATTAATAAGAACAAATCTCGTAATAAAAACTTAAAAACCACCTGCAGTTTGATTAGGAGTAATTTGATTGATATGATTTTCTATATTTATATTTTTTCTAAATTTTTTTGAGCAATATAATATTGACATCATGGTGTGTTATTTTATGTGGTATATTTTCAACAAATACGCAGTTCTTCCTCCGAATTAGTAGCAGATGGAAATGAAATGTTATGTGTAATCCTAGAATCCAAAATAGCCTGCTTATCTTGAATAAATGATGCGACAGTCCAACATGTCCATAGCTGGGTTTTAAGTTTAAAAGGCCGACTTGTTACACATGCTGTAGTATGAACTATTGATGATATTGTTTGTATTTACGTTCATTTGAAGCAAACTATCGTAATTGTAATTCCAGGAATCTTTGACTTGTCACAAGAGTTTGTGATATTTTTGCGTTCAACTCAACGTGAATAATTCTGAACAATAACAACTAGCTAAACATGTATCGCTTATTTATCACGCAAACTTGACATTGGTAATTAGAAATAGCATTCTTGCAAACCTTTGATTTAGAAGGAATATGCCTATATGGTGCCGATGGAAAAGAACAAACAATTCATTCATTTTACCAACGGAACTGGTGAGCCATAATTGTGCTCTAAGTATTCAATATTCGGCTACAAATGAAGATATCTATAATTGTGAATAAAATCAGATGGACATTGAATATATATATTTCTTCGATTTTTCCATACGAATAATATTTTATGAATCATTTCGACGATTTCACCATTCAAGTTCTAGCATAAACTTTTGAATATAAATTTTGAACATCCAACAAAAGACTATATAGATGAGTATGATCTCCTGCTTATTAGTATATGTGTGCTATTTCAATTTTTCATCGCAAAAATAATGATAATTGGAATAAAATGCTTTCAAACGACTTTTCTTATTCACACTTTCAACTCTAATTTCAACAACTTCCATCTTCACCTCCACATTAATGATGCGTGAAAAGTAATAACATGTTAACTGATATACAAAACCTATTATACGTTATTATTAGAATGTTTACAAGGCACTAATTGAGTATAACATGACATCGCTCAAATGCGATTTAAATAATTGATTAATACATTTGATGCATACATAATCTTATATCGTACGTAAATTTCGCGATAGAAACTAGTGTATGTAAATGTATACAGTATTACTTGAAACGGATTCCAGTTCATTTGGAACATATTCTAAGAAAAACATAACTTTTTCACGCAGCGTCCAAGATTACTGAAGTTTTTGCTACACTCATACACAAAAGGAAGTCAAAGCGTTTAAGTATTAAATTATGTGCTGACTGCATAGCATGGCTTTAATATTTCAGGCAAAGGCACGTTCGTGAAATAGCTTATGATGCATGTTCGATGTATGGTACGAAAAGCTCAGATTCTGTGGGATTACATCAAATTCAAATGTGAATTTTTCATATATTTATGAACATTATGCAGGGAACTAACGTTCATTATAAACTGCATAATCTTAAAACACGTTTGTAATGTCTTCTTCGTCGTGTTCAAATTCCCCGCACTGTAGCAATTTGTTTTTAACGAAATAAAATAATATCAACACCGGAGCGTTTTCTTTTTAATTGAACCTGTATTTTATCATACTACAGACTTGCTAAGGCCAGAATTGGCCAGAGATAATTCATTACCATGGGTTTCATTCATTTCCGATCATGTTCGAAGGATGGTAATTAAAACGTTCAATTTTTAAATTGTTTATGATAATATAATCGTATTCGATGACGCATTCCAATCGCTCAAAACGTTCCATCAACTGTGCCGGTGACTTTCTAAAACGATTCCTGCGTTGGACTTCTTCCCGTTTCTTCGCTCACAAGATAAACTACGTAGAAATCGAAAATTTCTCATGAAGTTGAATCCCGATTTATTAATCGAAGCTGTAAATTCGATATGTTCCACGTTTTATGGCTCTCGTGTGCTGTCGAAATTGTTAGGATATAATGAGATCAATATGAGAGGGAGAGATATCAAATCGTTCATGTGGAAATGATATACTATCGTAATTAATTATATAAATCAAACTTCATCTGATATATCCTCTTTAATACCGAAGAATGTGGCAAGTAAGGATCATATTGCACATCGATGTAGTTGGTCAGTGTTTATGTTTATATATGCTTTAACAAACAGGAATATTTTTTAAATGCTAGCTAGCCATACAGTGCTGCAACGCAAAGGAAATATAATAGTGTTGCTCTAATTTTATTTATAATTAATGTAAGATGAGGATTCAGTTAGTCATATGAAGGACTTATATCTTATTTCCCGATTTCAATGCTAAAAAGAGTGATGTTTTCAGTTATCAAGTTTTAATTCGTCATTGTTGGCAATTATTATTAAAACCATTGCCGGTTTCTACTCCGAGACAGCATCCAGACTGCCATAATCAAAACTTCGGTGATTATTGTCAGTTAAAAATATTGAATTAAATATAAATGGGAGTAAGAAAGGGAGATAAACGGGAGTAAGAAACTCAGAATTGAGTAAAAATTGAGTTAAAAGCAATCAAGTATACACAAACGTAGGAGATGGGTAGTGTTATTTTTCATTTATATATAACTCCAATGGCAAAATTTCATCAAAAACTCATAATTAAAAAGCAGTGACAAGTCAAATAATGGAATAAAAATATTCATTATACAATTTATTTCTGAATAGCTTTCACACGGGAAAACGAATTTACTTTATATTGAAACCTACTTATTTCAAGAAGAGATATCAAGTAATTGTTTGTAAACTTTCAGACATTTATGAAGGTGATTGTTTTAATCTTTTATTATTGTTATGAAGCGGCTTTCGAGTATCATTCAACCCTGGGGTATATACAGACCTTTAGTATTGACTCACACCCGTAACGGATATACATAAACAATATTTTATTGCGTTAATTACCACCTGTTGTCGTATCGAGGGTTCACTGTGTTATTTCAAAAGATAATATTCAATCGTAAATGTTTTCGATAATTACTGGAGATCAACTGCGATCTACAGGACAAGTTGTTCAACAGGTGTTATTGAGATTTACGACTCCGTTGTTAAGTTTATTTTGACGCAAGGACTGGAAATGAGTCGTAAAGTTGATTTATTTCAATAATCAGAGGAGGAATTATAACTTAGTCAGTAAAAAGTTCGAATCAATCAAATATACCAGTGATACAAAAAAGAAAAGGTACAACTCACTTCGGGATCATTTGTAAATTGAAACTAGAATGAGACGTAGAACTTGTAAATTAAAACGCACAACTTTATTTTAACCAAGATTCGCGATTCAAAAAAGCGGAGACAAATAGATTTGTAGTCAGAATAAGATGCAGCGTCATGTAGGTAGGGGCTACGTTCCTTATACCAGACAGCTCGCATTTCCTACATATACATTGATAATGGTAATCTTGATACAAACTCATAACTGAAATTTTCAGAATTAGAGTGACAGAAGGTGTATAGAGAGTAGCAGCGTGAAAAACTCGAACACTTCCATCATCTGCAACTTTGACAATCAATTTATATTCCCAGAAGTAGACTACCACAAAGTGGATAACCCATGATTGGGAAAACTTACTTATAAGCGAAACATAAACTTTTTATTTCATAAAGTCGAACGTAATATCAAATTGAAAATCATACAAAGCATCAAGATTCAAATGTACAACATGTTCCTGCACGTCTCCGTTGCGTTACTTTTAGGATCGTTTTGCTCTGGTAAGTAAATGATAATTTTTTAAATAAAATTATTATCGATAGTTCTGAAAAATACGAAGCCAAAATATATTTCAATGATGTTCAGACGCACGATTTTTCCAGTTTATTTTTTGTTCTGCCAATCTTTACGGATAAGCGCGTAGGAAGAAGATGAAACTTGTACATTTGTTGAATACTTTCTACTACGTTAAATGAAGTTTTGTTATGGTTGAACCAATACTCTAATTTCACTCATCGTAAAAATGGCTCAAGATTTGAAGATTGAAATGAGGACTTCAATGGTTGATAAATCATATTAGTTTAACTCAGTAGAAAGCATTTATAATTGGATTAAGAGGAAATAGAAAATTACAAATTTTTGATTGAATTTTATACTAAATGTCTGGCGTATAACAGTATTAAGATGACGTATAAAGCTGCATTACCTAAATTTTGAAAGAAGGTATTGAGTAAGCTAGGCTAGCTGAACGCGTGTAGGCCTACATGTCCGCTATCAGTTTTCACCATTCGAACATGATCGGTTATTTTGTTATGTTCAGCTTCATTCACTCAAGTTATGATGTCGAGGTTCTGTTTTTACATACTGTTTTAGGCTTTGTGAATGTTTAACAATATCGTCCACAAAGTAACGAATAATAACATGAAGGTAATGTGTTTCACCGCACTCTAGTCTGCAATGTAGACATATATATATATATATTATCACTGCACATTTCAAAAATGATCAGTCACAGATACTATGATTCATTGAGACATCTTAACGTCATCAGACTGTTTAATTCTTACTTCAATTTGTTCAGCATCGACGATTTCGAATCCACGCGAAGATCACGAATTTCAATGTTCCATCGATGTATATCTACGAGAAGAATGCAATATATCTACAACCAATGAACTTGAATGTCTGAGCTCAGGATGCTGTTTCTCTGACGACCCCTATGACGCCGTGAAATGTTACAAGAAACGTAAAGGTAGGATATTATCTAATACAAATACGAGGCACTTGGATATGTAGACAGATCAAGACAGAAGAACGTGTTGTGTCCTACGTCCGACAAAACTATGTTTCAGCGACAGAATGATAAAACTCGTATATAATAGGTGGAAAATAACTTTCATGAATCCTTGTTATTTACCCATTTTGCATTGAACAACTCAACAGCGCCAAAATTTCGCATCACCAATCTCATACATACATAGCCCTAAATTCATAACTTTTTAATAATATACAAAACCTATATAGAATAGGTTTTGGAAACTGCCAGTGCACTTTTTCTTACATCTTGCATACTTGCACAAATAAAGTAATGTTACCAAATTTGTTATCTACGTGGCAACTGTATATACTTTTAATTTAAATTCATGATTTTTTTTTAGACACAATGACTATAAAATGTGAAGTACAAGAGTCTTCAAGGTAAGTTCATTTTTGTCAAAGTTACAAGCCTAAGAGCCTTTCAGTTTTTTGTTAGTCTAAGTTCGATTATTTAAGTTCAATTTGAACTGAAGTTCCCATAAGAATACCATGCCAACAAAAAACTATTCAAACATGGCTTAAGAAATTTGGTGTATAAGTAAAAGTATTGATTAATAATTTTTCAATTGCTTTCAATCCTCTATATGTGGAAATCTGTCTTACCTCATTTATAAAAATATTTCATATCTCATAATTTCAGGAAAGATTGCGGATATGGAGGAATCACACCAACAAGATGTGAGGACTTGGGATGTTGCTTTGAGGCTAGCAACATGGCCGGAGTTCCCTGGTGCTTTTATGCAAAAGAAGAAAAAAATGAAAAAGAAGAATCAACCAAGGAGCTAAAAACTTCTCTGATAAACAAGTTCAAGTCTGGTCTCGATTCAATATTTGAACAAGAGTCTTTGAAACCAGATACCGATAATAAAGTAACATCGGAGGAAGGAGTTTCAGATTGGTTGGAAAACTTGTTAGATCAGATCTCAACTATCACTACTGGACCAGTAGAGTCACCCGAAAATTTCTATGGAAGGTAACCCATTTCATACAATTTCCCAAGTCAATCGTTGATGAGCAATTTTTTATAGCTTTTACATGCATATCCGTTAAAACAAATTCAATAAAATACCTATAAAATCTGTTTTATGCGTTATTCAATCAATGATAAAAAGGCTTAGTCTCAATAAAAAAAATCAATCATTTAGGGTTGATCCAATGTTTTGATTAACTTATTCATTTGTAATTTAAGTCATTGTGCAAACTTACTTTTACTATACGTTATCTTTAACACATGAAACTCTTCCACGGTTGAAAATAATATTTTGCTTGGCTTTCCCAGACCTGGTGAGGAAATTAACCCAAAGATGGTTGAAGATGAGAAAGCATGCATGAAAACATATGAGCTGCTGTTATCTGTGAATGGTAAGATCTTTAATGTTATTCAAACCGTTGATAGACTCAAAAGAATATAGCTATCATGTATTTTTAGCTTCATACATGTTCCAAAGTACTAGCCTGACCAATGCTATGCAAGTGAGCATATGATTCAATCATTATTTTTTAAGACTGAAAAATCAGCAAGGTAGCTAATATAGCAGGGGTTCCCGAACCAGGGGTCGCGACCCCGAATTGGGTCGGAGTGATAAGTAGGTAGGGTCGCAAACAGGTCATGGGGTCGCTGATGTATGGTAGAGGAAGGATGTACAAAACATCTAAGATTTGACAAACCATGTTAAATTAAGCAGTTTCTACCATGGCTAACTTTAAAACAGGTCCATTGGCATCGCTCTATGCTTATGCTATATAGAAAATGTAGGTGCTTATTATGACATCACTGTTTGGATTTAGCTTATTTCACTTAATACCACCACATGACCAAACTCAAAAGTCCAGTGAAAGAAGCTATAAAGTTTCATGAAATATATATATATATATATTGACCTGGGGTCGCACTGGACACTTTAAAGTTGTTTTTGGGGTCGTCCTGAAAGAAGCTTGGGAACCCCTGTTCTATAGGCTTGCCTTCATGATAGAAATTCAAATTTGATTCTCACTTGCGATGATTTATGTAGTTTAATGATGTCAGCTAGAAGTATCAGCAAAGTAGCTTTGACAATTGTTCATTTATATTACTTTAGGACAATTTGAATGTGAAATATACCCAATCAGACGAGTTGAGTGTATATCCGGTGGACTCCGATTGCGTGAAGACGAGAGTGAATGCACAGCATGTACAAAGGTAAATTAAAACAAATAAATAGTCTATTTGTTTAAATTCACGCTTGCGTTTTCCGTCTTCGTGCTCTAAAACAAATTTCAAGCCTAACTTGTTTTGGTGCATTTGGAGTTTATAATTATAACATCTTATCCACACATTTAATTATCCCTAATGCATGTCTTTCATTTTTCCACATTGTTGCTTAGTTTTCATTTGCGTAACTTAGAAGGATTTCTCGGTGCAAAAAGTAATTATTACAGAACTTCTCTCAATCACAAAGCCAAAAATAGATACTCGTTGGAATCAATATCCAAAGCTTCGTTTAAAAATAAAATCCTGATTCAAAACACTATCAATTTAGCTTGGATGTTGTTACGATCCAGAAATGAAAGGAAGCGGAACACCGCACTGTTACAGAGGTCGACCAATTGTTGTTTCTTCCGCATTGCCCACTACAACAACTACACCAGGTAATATACTTCTGATATCTTTTGAAAAATTATATTGACTACAATAGTTTTTGGCCTCGAACCAACATTCCAACTTCGGTTTATCGTATGTGCTATAACAATATGATTGGTAAATTTCATAACTTGGTAACTTATTTTTCAATATATAGTTAACTATATAGCTTTTCTTTCGCTTCGAACTTGGGCGTATCACTCATGCTAGGACAATGTATAGCGCTGATTACATAACTTGTAGCGCAGCCGCTGTCCCAAAATATGATTTTTTTTTAAATGATTGGCCATATACGAATTGAGCCCCTAGAACAGAAATAATCCGATAGCGTCAATCACATCATGCAAGGAGGGTTTCCTGTTTGACAAAGTTTTGTTTGCTGTTATAAAACTCAATTATTTTCTCGGGACAACCGAACCATACCCGGAATGGCCGCCGACTTTTTGGGCATTTCATGGCTTTGACCGAATGCTGCTACGTATTTAACAATTCGATTTTATTTAATTGCAGCGCCTACAACAAATCCAAGATGGTCGATGTTATTGAATCAATTGGGTATTAGACCAGAAGAAAGTTCCGCTTCCAGAAACCCATTCACAACGCAAAATAAAAGTCTATGGAATCAGGGTCAAAGTTCACCATGGAGTCAAACATCGAATCTGCAACCTCCTGTTAATTTTCCTGGAGCTAACCAATTACAAGGCGCTGGCAGTTTTGAAGAAAGTCTGTTTCATCAAATTAACTCACAAAATGGAATTGGAAGCAGCAACAACAACTTTCTAAACGGCCTGAAGCCGATACAAGGTAACGGAATAACAAGCAACAATGTGAAAAGTATTTTGAACGCTCTTAACCCTGTACAATCGACTGGTGCTTTTACTAACACAGACAATACTAACACTGGAAGCATTTTGAGCGCATTGCGTCCAGTAAATAATAACGGTGGTTTGTCCGGTATTCTGAGTGCATTGAAACAACCACAAGTCAACGAAGTTGGAAACAGCGGAGGAAATAGTCTTGTGAATAACCTTTTAAATTCTCTTAAAAAATCATCTTCGTCGGGCCATTCCAGCTCTACTAACACGCATGCTAACAATATTTTTGGTGGATTAAATGTTGATCGAGAACATGTCAGCAGCAATGCCAATATTGCTAATCTACTAACATCTTTCGGAGACAAAAATAACAACGGTGGCAGCTTGATTTCATCTTATCTGTTAAATAAAATTACTAACCAAAACAATCCTACTTCAAATTTGCCTGGTTTGCCTAACTTAAGCTCTCTATTGTCTGAAAATGTTGGATCAAATCGGGTTAATTCTGCATCAACAGGAGACTCTAACACCCAGCGTCCAGGAATCCCAAATTTAGCTTCGCTACTCTCTGGAAACAGTGTAACATCTGGAAGTTCTAACACTCAACGTCCAGGAATCCTTAATTTGGCTTCTTTACTCTCTGGAAATAGTGCAACAACAGGAGGTTTCAACACTCAACGTCCGGGAATCCCAAGTTTGGCTTCCATACTATCTGGAAACAGTGCATCGACAGGGGGATCTAACACCCAACGTCCAGAAATTCCAAATTTGGCTTCTTTGATTTCTGGAAACTCTGCATCAACCGGAGGCACTAACACCCAACGTCCTGGAATTCCAAATTTGGCTTCTCTGCTATCTAGCAACACTGCATCAACAGGAGGCAGCAACTCTAAGTCATCGAGTGTTTCAAGTTTGACTTCTCTCTTATCTGGCAACTCTGCGGCGGGAAGTGACGCCAAGCCCTCGGGACTAGCAAATCTAGCTTCTATCCTAGCAGGAAATTCTGCTCCATCCTCGGGAAGCAATACAAAACAAAGCAGTCTTTTCAATTTGGCTTCTATCTTGTCTGGAAATTCGAACGGTTTAAATCTGGGTTCAACAAGCAGTGGCTCTACAAAACCAGCTGGTTTATCAAATCTGACATCAATGATTTTTGGGAATCGTGTTCAGACAAATCGTGAAGCACCAAAGTCCGCCACACCGACTCCAGAACAGAGCAAGTATCTTCCAGATATGTTCGAATATTTTGGAGGATCTAAACCGGAACAACTCTGCTATCCAAGTAAGTAAAAAAATACTCCATAATATATAATATAAACGGTGGTGGATCATTCCAATAAACTGCGAATTTAACAACAAAATTTAAAACCGGAAAAACTGAAATCGATTGGTCCAATAGTTACAGAAAAAGCGATTTTTTTCACAGCAATAGCATTTCCAAACTGCCGATAAGAACATCAAGTGACTGATCTATAAATCGACTTTGTCTCTTTAAGTTTTTTTTTCGTTTCTACAGAGAACTGTGGTACTCTAGGAGAAATGCATTCACAACGAACTACGCGACGAATCGTTGGAGGGCAGTGGACAGGCGGAATTGATTATTGGCCATGGATGGCTTCATTCCGACGTAACTTTACTGATGACTGGACCTATAAACACGTTTGTGGAGCAGCGTTAATATCAGAAAGATGGATTCTTACTGCAGGACATTGTTTTATGCTTTACAGATCTAAAGCAGAAAAAGTTGTTGGACAAAAAGAGTAAGTTAGTTGCTGTAAATTTTGCCAACGAACTTTATTCAAACTTCTAGTGAAAGTGTTGTTTATTCGTAAAGATACATAGATCTGTAGATTGTAAAGATAGGCTCTAAATTTCAAATCTTTATATTAACTGTAACTTTAATTTTATTTTTTAGAACCAATATAAATGCTTTTACAATTCATCTGGGAGCATATTACAGAGATATTGCTGAGCTTACCTTGCAAGTATTTGCTCTTGAGAAATTCATCGCTCATCCCGAGTATGACTTCAGAAGCTTGAAGCATGACATCGCTGTAGCGAAATTACTGGTAAGTAAAAAATGATTGTTGCCAGATTTACTGCAACTCGGGCACTGTTTTACGTAAAGCATTTCTTTGGGCTGTATAATGTGTAGGATTAGTAAATATATACTTTTAAATCATATTTTTGTATCTTTTGTCCAGGAACCAGCCGTGATAAACAATCATGTTAGACCTATATGTTTGCCTTTTAAAACAAATATGATGGAAGTTGGTGCTACAACGTGGGTCACTGGATGGGGAGAAACATTACGTGAGTATCCAAGTTACCTATTTTACGATGCCCCCATATATAGCAGTATATATCTGAGGGAGAGAGAGATTTAGGGCAAATAAACATGAGTATTTATGTTTATTATATTGCAATATTCACATATGGAGCATACAAATTTCTCTCTCACAGAAAATAAAGAAAGAGATTAAGAGTCACTGTATAGTGTAGGAAGATGAATTACGTGGGTATTCTGGTGACACGCCCTGCTCTCAAGTACAGTGCAGTACAAATTTGGGAGAGAGAGATTGAGGGCGTGGAAACGGATGTATTTGGGCATATTTTTCGATATAGGGCGTTGCACATTCGATAGAGAGAGAGATTAAGATTAGTTCAATCAATTTGTCCTCATCTCGCAATTAAGGTTTTGTTTTATCATTACAGATGTTGGAGATCACAATGAATCAAAACTGAAAGAACTTCCATTGCCCTTGATTTCACAATATGAATGTAAAAACCACTGGAAAAATCATTTTCACGAGAGTTGGATTTGTACGGAAGGAGCTTATCTGGAAGATGCATGCACTGTAAGTATCGAATACAATACATGACAAAAATACTAGTTCAGAAGCTTCGATGTGCTTAGTTGTACTATGTATACTGCAATATTCGCTTTTTCCGAACCAACACGATATGTGAAGGAAATAGTATATTTGCAGTGATTTTTCAGAATTGCTTTTTAAACTTCTGAATTAAAATATATAGAAAAAATATTTGCCACAAGATCCCAGTCTTTAAACTTGCAGATCACTTTTCACAAGCTTTCATTATGGGTTGCTTAACAATAGTCATGTTTGAAGCGATGATTTGATATTGCGAGCTCATAAAAATCAATGTGTTTAATTGAATTTCAAGGCCTCATGTTTACCACTTAGAAAACTCATTTTGTTTTTTCGAGAGTCAGACCATTTGTTATTCATATATTTATACTTAAAACTGTAAAAGCACATTTTAGAGTATTTCGTTTTATCTTCAGGGTGATTCTGGTGGTCCTCTTGTTCGACAAGGTTACGACGGCAGATGGAAAGTCGTAGGTGTTGCAATTGCTGGAACTAAACGTTGTTCGACAGACCGTACTGATATTAGACCGGGAATTTACACCAATGTTGCTTATTATAGAGAATTTATTGATTCCGCTACAAATGGAGTTTGTCATTGATTAAATTATTCTAGATATTCTGCGTTAAAGTGCCAATTAGACGCGTGATGATCTTGATGAGACGTAAATATCAAAATCCTACCCGTCTCTGCGTCGAGGTTCGATACGTTACCTTCCCAATACCCTCTCGATAACTTTTCAATGTCGATAGAGATATTTCTGAAAAATAATATTCCATTACGTTGTTTAGAAAACTCTATATTTGTTGTCTCTGCCCTCAAAAATATAGTTTTGTACAAACAGATCGAAAAACCAGTATTCGTTACTTTAGCAATTGGTATTCTTCACATATATATGTGTTCATATGTTGGGGGATATTGCTTCATACAATATAGATTGGTTAATGAAGAACTTCAGTTGACAAACTAATAAATAATAAATGTTTTCGACCCTCACTATAGTCTTTTTATCATTCCAGTCGTAACCACACAATTAGGTTTACCCACCTTTATTTTTGACGATTTAAATTGTCCTCTATAGAAGTCTGACAAGAACGTTTCCAATAGTCTGTGCGATATGAAGAAAAGTTGCAACAATTAATTCTTTCATTTGACGTTGCTTATAAATTTTGGTGATGAATAATAAATTCGGCGTGAACATAATTGACAGAAGGGATAAATTACCCTCTACAATGTGTGAATGGTGTAACGCATTGTTCCTATTTACGAAGAAATGGCATGATAAGTGCTTTGTGTGATCTTATGAGTTTGAAAATATTTTTGCACTTCTTTTTAATATTTTTATTATTATGCCTTTTATTTATATCCTTTTTATGCTTTGAAAATGAATTGTATTTTGTTTCTATTGCTATTAACGTAATTATTATTATTAATATAAGATAATGAAAAGTCAGCAATGGTCGTCTGTCTATTATTCTAAGATTCATTCATAATAATTATACGGGATTGACGAAGCTCTCATTCCTATCAGAGTCTAGTGTAAGGAGTTAGCCGAGTTTATAGCTGCCGAGGTCCGCTTCTCAGACGCAAAGTATTATTTACACGTTTAATTTTCGTCTGTGTCCGCTCCATATTATTCACCACAACATTAATTATAAATTAAATTAAACCCCAATTAATATCTAAAAATAAATTACAGTTCACGAACTGGCGATAGAAAATTGTTTAATTTGTTCTTATTTCTTTATTACGTCACAAACCATTGTTCTGTGGCGCGAAATATAACAATTAAAATCGCCTGCCTCAATGTGTTTTACATCGAATACAAATAAAAGCCTACATTGTTACCTCACAATACATACTCGAATCAGCAAATGGTTCACAAGTGCTATTTTATAAAAATAAAATATTAACCCGTAACGAATGCGAATAGTCCGAGTTACATATTGAAGTTTGCTCCAAATTTCCAATCAAACGGCCTAACGGCCGTTTTCCTATTACATTGGATGAAGACAAAACGTTCATAGAGTCGGTTCTCAGTTTAGTTAGTCACATCTTCAAATTTCGTTAAGCAATACGTCATTTTATTCATTTATTTATTATAAAGAAATGTCAAAATGAAATTTAATTAATTTTGCAAAATAAAAGCTTCCAATAAGGAGTTCTGTACCCAATTAAAACAAAAATATTGTTAAAATAGAGTTTTTGTTATTAAAAGAGTATTTTGTATGGGATCTCTACATTAATAAGATACGGAGGGAGCGATTGGGTTCAAATATCAATTCATAATCCTGACTGCTGTTTCACTCGCCCAGTTAAGATGACATTTTATATTACTGGGTTTAGCATAACGGTTTTATTTCAACGTCTATTCATACTAAATGACCCATGTATGAACCATTCCGAAAATTACTATGTAATTGGTTGTTCGTTAGTTATAAAGGCGAAATCAACAAAAATTCACTAATAAATCTGTATCGTGTAGATCAGAACAACAGTGACAAAGGGTTAATCGAAAGAGCCAGACCCTATGAGTCGTCACAAATTAAGGACGATACAAAATTGAAATGGGCGGATACAATGGTCGATTCGCTTGCCGGCAATTGCTAACAAAGGGCTTTGTTAAAACCTCCTATTTATGAATTACGTTGGCCGTGAGAAAAAACTAGCTTTTAGTACTGAATTTATATCAGGACCAGATCTGATTAAAGATTCGTCTGCAATCACTTTTTGAATGGATATTTCAACAATAGGGGCTCAGCGCCTTGGTTAGTTTTGCCAACATGTTTTTCTATTTTGTGTTTATGCTGGAGTGACAAAGCCCTAAATGTCCTATTGTATAGGGCTGTGGATATAAAGTCAGGATTTTCGAAGATTAACTGGTAGGTTATCCAAGATAAGCTTATATGAGATATTTGTGTGGATATTATCTAAATTACGTTTGGGTGTCGTTTTTAGTAACAGGTAAACGTGTCATATTTGCGACATTCGTAATATTTTGGTATGTTGCTTTTACTTCGACGGAGGCTGTTGATAATCATTCGTAAAAAAGAGACTGAAGTTTTGTATTAAAATATAGCTACTTGTAAGACTTGTTTGAATATTAGTTTGTTAAGTTTATTCATACGATTCAGTGTTATTTTGTGGAACTGGTGAACAAGGTATATTTGTGACATCCGTAATTTTTTGGTTGTTGCTTTTACACTGACATAAGCCGTTGACAATTATTTATTTAGAATTGTCTGATTCAAGCAATTACAGATACTGAAATTTCGTATTCATATAATGCTACTGCTCACTTTTACATAGCTTAGGGTGACCATATTTCCACACCTCAAAAGGAGGACACGTCGTTTGGTAGAACCTCATTTCTGTGCCTGAGATATATATTATATATATGCTGAATTCTCTAGGTTTAAAAAAACATCCACAGAAGAATCAATTTTTTTGTCATTAGATTTGACGTACAATTGTTAGATCTGTAACTCTGGTGACGTTTTACACAATGAAACGTCATTCTAGCTCCGGCAACAGCAACCTTTTCTCCAATATGAGTTGCAGGCGCAAAATATAGTCGGTCTCTTTCGCTGATGATGATTCTTCTCTAACAGCTGTTTTATGCTTGAACTCTCAATGTGCAACTGTTGCTAAGCTTGCCGTTATTCGCCACAGAAACGAAAGTGTCATAGACTCATAGCCGTATGTAATGCACTCCGCTTCGCTATCAGTTTACCTTTTCTAAAGCATGGATACTTTTTCCTTGTTCCTGAGTGATAGTGATAAAGGTATTTCTTTCCGGAATAATTTATTGGGTCTGCTGACGTAATTTTTTGCCAAAATCGGAACTTTACTATATTGTGAAATACAACGTAATATGACGTAAAAAATAATTGCAGAACAAAACGATTTTTACGTTATAAACGAGTATGCATTTAATAAGAGTGTGTATTCTATCACAACGCAATGCATTGCTTGTCATAGCCTATGTATAATGATATTACAAGTCTCTACTTACTTCAAAATTATCTTACCATATCAGAAGATATAATTTTAAAAATTTTATCTCGTGAAAAAGTAGGACATTTTGACATTTTAGAGCGTCCTCGGAGGACGCAATTTTTTCAACGAAAAAGCAGGACGAATCCTCCAAAAGGAGGACCTATGGTCACCCTAACATAGTTAGTCTCACATGCAATATTTGCATCTGTTGAGATAAAAACAGACAACCATAACAACCTACGAAAAAAATTCGTCAGTTAACGACAACTGTGTCAGTAGCTTTGTCGTCGCTTCGTGGTTATAAATTAGCGAAACTGAGTCTTTTATACACTGTCCCTATATGGTTTTGTTTCCTATACTTGTACAGATACTCCCGTAGTGTGTGTACTAGGTTAGGGTTAGGCCATAATTTTATTCCGATTTTCCTTATTTTAGTTCACGAGTTTAGTATTACGAGTTCGAGGATTGTCTGTGTTAGCCAAGTAAATATATATACTTAGAATTAGTTACCTCCATATTGGTACACATACCTCTAGAGTGCCCTTGTGCATATTTCTGGTACTCAACGATTTTAAGAACTTTCGCGAAACATCTTGTCATTGTTAAGTAGTCAAGTAGAGAGCGACAACCCTTATCAGACGTCTGCTTATGTTTAATCAGGCTTCTGAAGCAGGGCAGCACGTAGAGGTGGAAAACCTGAGCATATGACACGTTGGGAGCATGAATAAATATCACCACTTCTGCATTTGAGTTTCTATCAGCGCGGACTCGCCGTTATTTAACGAGTCATATATTGAGGAAAATATGGCCTAGGACAGAACCGAACAGCCTGAGAATTTAGTCTAAAACAGATGTCAGAACTGCAATGACTTTTAGAATTGTGTCAACTGTAGTCAAAATTACTTCAAAAAGTTCGGGAATATGTGCCTGAAAATTAAAAAAAGTTTAAAACTAGTTCAGCAAGACACACATACACTTACTTGGGCAAGGATGAGATTAAGTGTGATTTAATTAATACGATTTTTTGGAAATGTATTCCGTTGTATTCGTATGAAATGAAATATCAGAAAATAGATTGGAAATATTGAATCAGCAGAAATGGGCAAACTTTACTCAATTAAACTTAATTAATGTTATGACTTTAAGCACGTATGGTGAAACATTTAAACTGTCCCAAATCCGAATCTTGGTTTGGCATGGAAACCAGACTAACTCGACTTATGACAATGCAATCTTCTCGCATAGTACTCAGAATATTCGATATTGCTTCAAAGTTTTTATTTAAAGTTTATAGTGTGTGTTTTTTGTTAATAGGTTGAATTTTTCCATCCATATAACGTGTAATATTAATTTTGCATCTTCTCGAATTAGATTTTAATACTAATTTTTTCCACAATGATAATTAATTGGTTCTATGCCGGTTATACAGCATTTCCCAAGTGGTCGCTAGAAAAGCAGAAAATTTGAAGGTGAGATGAGATCACGAATAAAATGTGTGTAGGTATAAGTTGAATTGGAACGATATCACACAAGATAACCCTCAAAACACTACACGAGCTAGGATTTCTATGTTTAAACTATGAAGTGCACAAACGACATTTTAGGCATCTAGGAGTGTAATATAATATATTATTTCTTTAAAAAACTTAAATAGCTGTTCAACAAATTTTCTGTTTTTCTAGCGACCACCCTGTATATGCGTCGGTATTGATGATTTAGTTATACTAACACATTTAAAACTGGAAAGAATGTAAACAGAGGGTATTTATTGTGAACTGAGGGATCGCTGAAATATGTTTGCGTTTGATCTCATACTATAAAAACAGTAAAATGTCCGGTATTTTATGACAGAAATAACAATTATTTTACAATGACATTTCAGAAAACAATTACAATGAGTATGAAAAGTTACATAATACCGTAATACTAGATCGATTATTACTTAGAGAGTTTTCGAACAAAAACGGCGGATGTTGAAATTTCGAAACGTTTCATTTGAAAATATTACAGAGAAATAAACCGGTATCCAATCGTAGTTTGAAGCAATATTCGCCAAAATATTTCATTGATAAGTTACAGGACTTTGAAAATGTAAAATATACGTTTTTGAATTTTTTCAAAACAGGACTTTCAAGTTTCGTAAAGTGTAGACTTTACAGCTAGGTACGCTAGCGTGTCAGTTGAAAATCTCGGTTTTAAATTAGATATCATTCACCCAGAATGAATAACAAGTTTGGTAGACAATGCTGAAATAGAAAGATGTGGTTCCATTACATTTGAACCCACGTACATTTGAACCCATGACAATTGCACCTGTATGCTATTGCACCTATGGAATTTTTTTGTTTCACGGATAGTTAAACCCATACTAACCCTAACCCATGGGTTTTAGCACCCGCATATAGATTGAACCCGTGGATATACGCATGGGTTCAAATGTACATGGGTTCAAATGTACGGTCACCGAAAGATGTCTGTCTTTCCCAACTAGTAGTTATGTGCATCCTTCTTCTGTGGTGAAGATGTGATCATCTTGGTACTCCCGTAGTATATATGTGTACCAGGTTAGGGTTAGGCCATAATTTTATTCCGATTCTTCTTACTTTGGTCCTATTACGAGTTCGGGGACTACCTGTCTTAGCCAAGTGAATATCCACCCACACGTAACTCGATGTAAAGCCACGATTTCTTATGATTTTTGTTTCACATAGATGTAGTAAAGTTGATGATGTCTAATATTTAATAAGTGTGTTTGTTAGTATCTGCCTACCCAGACTAATGGAAGCAAATTTCTAATGATTTTTGTTTCAAACAGATGCGAAGTTGATAATATCTACTATTCAATATGTAAGTTTATTGGTGGCTGCTTACCCAGACTAATGGAAGCAAATTGTTATACTGAACTCTACCTATGTGATTAGGATTCTTGATTCACATAGTCATATTTATTCACGCTACAGCATTCCTACATTATACACATACGAACCCAACAGCGCCAGAGGAAGGATAGACAATCAGTCTTGTGTGACCCCCAACTGATAGTTACAAAATTTCATCGTTGCAACTTTCCATTCATGAATCATTTCTAATTGCTTAGTTCCCATATTTCCATACCATCATATTCATTTCAAACATACATTATGTATAAGTCACACTTGAACCACTTTAATTTATAGAAACTTATAAATCATCTACATCCTGACAGTATTGACGTTTTCGAGTGTTTACTCAGTCAACGCATATTGAAACGATAATCGTGATGCAGAGTTTTATAAATTGGAACAGATGTGTTGAGTTTGTAGTTTAGCTTATGTTATTCACAAATTTCGTGATACTATTTGTCGACTTTACAGTTCCTGAGATTTACTTTCGGATTAAAAAATATTTTCAGTGCATTAAGCAATAGGAATGTAAATAAATAAATAAATAAAATAAATATGAAAAATAAGTTATAGAAAAAGTGCGGGACTCTACGAATGATATTATTTACTAATTTCATTTTGCTCTGTTCTCGTGGTAGTTAGTGTTGCTTACACCCAGGGGTGAGTCTGGAGGGGGGGTGCCAAGTTTGGAGATTTAAATAATAATAATAACACAAACTTTTCACTCTTACTTGACCTTTAATTGATATATTCTCATGTAGGACAAACATCTATACTTTGTTAATCCCCACATTTATTTTTGAAGTCAGGTATAAGAGGCATCATTATCAGAAACTCCGCCCCGGGAAGCAGAAAAGTTTGACACACCCTCGCTTACAGCTAAGAGTAGATAGAGTTCATAGTGAGAATAAGTCTATTTTGTTATTGTCATTGATAAAAAAAAACCTTCATATTACAATACACAGCTATCTATTTTCAGTCTATTCAGCTCCTTTTTTGTCCCTTTTACAAAATCAAATTAGATTAGTACAATGGTGACCAGAATTTCAACTTTATTGTCATCCAAAAAATGGCCAAAGTGGAACCGTAGGAATATATTACTGGTTATTTATTCTTCTGAATGATTAATAAATTTATCTGATTTCAAAGGATTTATACCTGACGCTAACAGCAGAAGAATACACATATTTATTATTATAGCAATAAATTATATAATGGTATAAAAGCCTATATCGTTTCTGGAAATAGGTGAGAGGACGTTGCTTGGCGAGACAGTAATATTGAGGTCTGGTCGCATAAGGATAGATAAGTACCGGTAATATGTACTAATATACAATAAACAAATATATTCGCGATATATATTTTAGGTTTAGACTGTTGATGGGCGCTAGATGCTTACAATCACTTCTTTCCGTTTTTTTTCTATTGGCCTTTGCTTTTTATATTATGTTTTTATTTTCAGATCTAGATTCTAGCTATTCTGCCAAGTGTCATTTTATACTTTCATTTGTCAAGATCGCTTAGTTACCATAGCAACGGATACCGAATAACGTCATCGCAATGTTTATTGTCGTGAATTACGGAGGTGAGTGGTTGGACTTCTGTTCAAGTAAAGGGATTTCGAATTGGAAGTGTGATGTTTGAAAGCCCTCAAGCTATTGTTTATCAAAGTGCTTAAAGATTACGAAATGTTGACATGGGTTACGTCAATTTCTTTTTGAGATTTACTTTCTAAGTCCATGTGTGATTATACATACATAAATATTCTTCAATGCACTCTTTTTTATGTTTTTTGTGTGTAGAGTATAGTCAGGTATAGTGCTTTCAATATACCACCAAGTATACCACATTGAGCTACTCTGATTATTTTTGAGGTTTCATGACTGACATTACATATATTTACGATCTATTTTTTGTATTCTTTCAGAAGTGTTTCATGCAATCAATATCACTAAATACACTAGACGGAATATTTGATCAAATAATTTGAATGAATACTTCTCTTTTAATTGAAAAGCAAATATTGTAACATAGTAGGATAAATCAGACTTTTGTTGAGTTCGAAACTTATCATTGAGCAAAATAAATTTTCATAAACAATTTGGATTATGACTTTTGTAGAACAGGTGGTCACAAATTTTTAACGACGATATTTAACTGATTCAGAGCGTTAGAACTTCGACTTTGTTTTTATTTTGGCTTTCTAAACGAGCCTGGTATATGAGTAACATTATTTAATATTTTAAACTTTAGAGAGGAAGCAAGCTCTCTTCAATCCGAATTGTAAGATGCAACATTTGCTTGAGAATATAAAAGAGCGTTGCCAGTTTCCAAGAAACAGTAAGAAATGATGCACACTCATTTTCATCACCCAAAAATCACTAATTCTAAAGCAATAAAACCGGTGAATCGAAACAAATCTAAATAAAAAAGTAATCTTGTTATTGCACCAGTAACCCAATTTGTTTGCTTTCATATCTACTGCCTGTGGAGGATATCTTAATATATATTGGATAAAATGCTAATTATATATAGCGTTTGAATACCTAATTAAAAATAACAATTATTTGACGTGAGTTTGCTGGGAAATGTATTGTATCGTAATTTTCTCAATATAAGTGTTTTTTAACAATTTTAATTTTTCCAAATTGCGAATATGGGTGTCATAAGGTCCTTTTACAATTTTTATTTTGTTATGAAAACAGTTCTCTCAATATAGTTTAACCAGATTTGTTGTTTTTTAATCAGTAATATATCTGTGAGGGACAAAACAATATATGGTACCGGTATCGATAAATTCCCTTTGCAATTTTAAATTTTTTTAAGACCCAATGAACGACCTATATATATATATATTTATAATTGCTTTAAAAATATTTTTTTATTTATCGTTCATATATATTGTGAAAAAACAAGTTAATACAAAAATAATCACCAAACAGATAAGCAAAAAACGCCCAATGTTGGTCATTCAAGTATAAATTTCGTCACGGATGACATTCCTCATTTTATTTTTACATTTTCAGTCGAAATTGATTTATCTGACGACATTGGTAACCTGAAGAATCTTTCGAAATCAACTTGCCAATATGCAAATGAGATATTGAACGTAGAACGAGAAAACCTTGTGCTCATTGAAGTGCGGCGTAATGGAAAGAAAAATGATGACGTCATCGATGGACTGAAGAGGTTAGCAGTACCTCCGCCCTTATTTGACCCTGACGTGACGTATATACCACTACTTAACGATGATCAGATCGTTAATTCTAAATTTCAAGGTGAATATTTTTTTGTATTTTATGTTACCGAGATACCAGGATACTCGGATCTGAGTTTAGAATTACTTTAACAATTACTTTATGGAGAATAGTAGTTTTCGACTAGGCGAGAGCATTCTACATTTCTTCACACAAGGAACCAACGCAGCAGAAGAGTTTTTAGTATAGTAATTTATGCAATGCAACAGTGAGTGAGTGCTCATAAAGGTCATTTCTGTTTACTTTAAGTCAGAACTAGATGATGCCGATGGAAGAGATATTTCTCAAAGTGTTAAAGTTTATAAAAATGATTTTTGGGGCGAATATATATTTGATGTTTATAGTAAACAACTGAACTAATTTCAAACAAATTAAAGCTATGCTTTAAAAGCAACATTATAACAAAGTATATACTTACGCACTTGTAACTTGTTTAGTTTCAACCATATTTTAAATAGCGGAAGTCGTTCTGGTTTTCCAAGGTCGATTATTTACCTTATTACAATCTGAAACTGACCTGTGGGTCACCTGAATAAACGAACAAATCCATTTTGTAAACACAGTCTAGCCAATTTGTCAATCACAATATTAATAAATCATCTATCGCAATGTAATTAAAGTCTGATTTTTTTTCTAATTAATTAACTTCAAATTTTGATCATTTATTCAACATCTTCTATGACTATATTTATTATCTATTTTGACAAATTATTTCACGTTTTGGCACGAGGTATTGAGACATGGATGTCATGTCTAGATCAGATTCATTATTGTAGTTACGAGGTCCAAATTGTCTGGTCAAAACATGTTAGCAAACTGTTAGTCAAAAATTAACAACAATCAAAATGATTCAGGGGTAGGATTTAAAGAGACAAACCCCTGGTTAATGGCTAACTCGAGTCAAAATTACAAACACTTCTTACTTTCTAGCTTTCTCTGAAACATTGTCACATATGAGTCAATACCGCAATATTCAAGTGAGATGGAATACGTTCTAACAGTCTTGACGAAACTTTTTTTATTCCGATGTTTGTCTGTCTTTAAATAATATTTTAATAAATTCTTTCTATCAAGGGATTCCATAAACGTGGAACAAAAGTCAAATCTGGCGTTAAATTATTGAAACCAACTAACAATGATTTTCTTGCTATTTTCAGCTCGTTTAACATCGCGCGGTTCACCAGCGCTTTCGGAAACTCGGAAAAAAGACAAAAAAAAAACAGGGAGAAGAAACACCGAAGCATTCAATTCGTCGGAGAAAGGAAGTTTTGATGCTAGTTTGACGTCACAATCCCTTTCTTCAATAAATTCACCGAAGCGAAACGGAAGCAGCAAACCAACAAAAAAGACAAATCAGTCTACAAACAGAAGCAAATCGCGAGGGAAAGTCAAATAGATCGACTGCTATTTTTCCTATTCACACCAAAGAACTTTCGTTTACTTATTTCATTACTGTTCCAAATGCAACGGTGTACGCTGTTGGACTCACAAATAGTATACCTCAAAGTAGCGCTTCTATGGTTATAATTGCTGGCATGCACACATATGCTTCAGCTATGAAAATATTTTGTAAGACAATACCCGATACACAGTTAATGCATATCTTCATAAAATTCCTCAATCCCAAACTCATAAGGTCAAATCTACATTGAGAATTACTCCCAACGAATTTTGAACAATATCTATTCAATTTCTTTATATATACTTGTAGATTCGAACAATTTTTCTGTCTTAAGACAGTTAGCATTACGTCCAACTGCATTTCACTCATTGGGATATTATACAGAAAGGGTATTTCTAAAACATGGTATTTTAATAAATTCTCCAATTCCATTCTTAACTAGGCTGATCTTGATATTAATAATCCACAACAAATCTTAAATTTTGTGAAATAATTTCGTTTTTTATATATATACGCATACTTGTGTACAATGTATACTGCTGGACCATGTCATTCAGCAATTCAAATCCAAAGATTTTTTGATATAAATGTTATTTTATTTCGTATTTTCATAATAAAATATTATATCATAATAGTATTCAATCAAAACTTGTCTACATGGCAGTAAGTCACAGCATAATTTACGTAATCTAATCCAAAAAAAAAAACACAAAATTTACTGGAACTCGGCGACGTAATAGACACAAAAAAGATATGGTTTTCAGGCTAAATAATGGAGGGAAGCTAGCAGATATTCATAAATTTCTACAATAACTGCTAAATGCCATTACAACTACTGAAAATTTTTATCAAGGAAACGTATGGAATATAAGACAGTTTGTGTTGAAGATATTGATCAAGTAGGAGACAACGTCGTGATATACCAATTATTTCACTCGTAAAGAAATAATAGGTCACGATGTCTGTTAGGTGAATTTTGCTCTGCTATTAAGTTATAATAACATATATTACATATACAAATCTAGGATTTTTTAAATAGATTTAGAGAGGTGTATATTTTATACAGATTTTTAGAAACGTGAAACGATAACCAAGTTTGAAATTGAATTTTCATTTATTGACATTATTTCTAGACAAAATTCATCAACTTTTGAAAATAATACTGCTAAGTCATATAACTCATAGGCACAAAATGATTTCAATTCCTAACGTTTTCCATATATACTTGAATATTGTTCCCATTAAAATAGTGCTCCATTTTAATCTGTCAGTCTAGTTACGCACGTAGAAACAATCCGCGCTTTGGTTTATTATTTACCGTACATCACTTTATTATTTACTCTCTATTACTGTCTTCCTACTCAAAAATTGTTCGGATCTCCACAAGCATCCTTCAGTTCGCTCAAATTGAATGCAAGCACAGCTGTCGTGCAAGCAAGAGCTAAAGCACAAACTCCAAGTAATGTGGCAACGATCACCCATTGACGTCGCTTTTTAATATTTTTCAACATCACTTTCTCCATTTCTTCCCGCGTCACTGCGAAAACAAAATATAAATATCTTAAGGTTGTATCTGTATTGTTCATGAATGCTGGAAAATCTCCATACTCAGTTATTTCCAAATTTTTATTCATATTTTCAAAAAAGATATTTATGATAATTTTGTAGTGACAAGGTTATTTTGTGAGCTTTATTTTACGATCAGATTTACTGCCAGTCCTGTTATCATAATTGTACACTTCTATGCTTGAATTTGCCTAAAAAACTACGAGTACATTGCAAAACTAAGTGCTGTTATGCAGTGTAAAGAAACTCTATATTGCTATCCAGTGAAAATAACACAGAGAGGCCTATATTACCAATTATTACAAACTATAGCTGGCTATTCTATTTTGTACAATTAAGAAACACAGTCTACTTACAGTCTTGCAATGGCTTCATTTCATAATCGACTCGTATCCTTATTTCATTGCTTTCTGAAGGTTCGGTTTCCTGTTCCTGTTGTGCAACTGAGGGAGACGATTCTGACGCAGGTTGTTCTTGTATCTCCGTGTCTTGATCAGCGTTGTCCCCGGAACTTTCTGCAGCTAAATGTTGTTTGCTCGATTCCGGTGTTTCTTCTTTTTCCGATGGTGGTTCAACGTATTCGGGTGGTTTTTCAACATGTGCTTGGACTATTTGTTCGTTTACGTCTATCGTTACGCTTTCGGTTGGTTCTGCTTGCGTGTCAATTGGTTCGTCTTTGTGTAATCTTTCTCCAACAATGTCTTTTTCTGTAGAATTATTTTCCAAAAAGTCGGCATTACTATCATTATTTCCTTCTGCAGTTTTCGTTTTACTTTCATTAGCATTTACCAATTCATTTATCGGTTCTTCTTTCTGATTCTGTTCCATAGATTCAAACGAAGGGTATAAAGATTGAGTAATGTCAGGTTCTGGGACTTGATTATCAATACTGCCAGAATTGGTTTCATTTATATTTTGTTCATTTGGTGATTTGTCAATGTCGTTGGAAGTTTCATGTTCAGCCACATTCATTGTTTCTCCTCCTTCTATTCTGACATCAGTGGATGCTATGTTTTCTGGTACAACATCTGTACTGGTTGATGGATCAAGAGAGGGTAAATACTCTTCTGTTTTTGTCGCAGAAGACGGCTCAACCGGCATTAACTCTCTTTCCTCAGCCAAATTTTGCTCCTCAGGCGCAACAGCTTGCTGATTTTCTGCATCGGTTTGATTTGAATCGAGCACAACAGTCGGTGCATCTGTCGATAAGGGTTGATCAGGTGTTGGTACGTCCGCCATAATAGAGATACAAATTACGTCGAAGTTCGTTTGCTTGGGTTAAAAATAGTTAAAGTAAAAGGGTAAAATATTAGTTCTCTTAATCAAAAACCATTTGGATAAAAGATGATCAGACCAACAAGTAGCCTATATATTATTGATTGGTAATATTCCTGAGTCAACTTTACCTCATCTTTTTCCGACATATAATATAGAGAAAAACAACACTTTTAAGATTATATAACTAATAATCAAGAACATTGACAGAATTTAGCTATAAGCTGCTATCAGCAAGAAAGATTCATCTCTGATCAGTGGCGTACCTATGTAAAATGGTAGTAAGTAAAAACACAATTTTCAACCAATTTTCAATTTGAAATTATTTCACTGAAACATTTTACGATTAAAACTTTTCGCGCTTTTTGCTCCCCTTACCAAACGGCGGCCATGCTCGAACCAGGGCTACCATATATATCTGAAATTCGCCACTGTCTCTGATGAAAAAAAAATTAAAATAGCTTTTAACAACAATTTTCGCAAAAGCGTTTGAATCAAACCTTTGAGCTATCATTGAGATAAACTCTTTATTATTTAGTCTCTCATGTATATTAATTTCTCCTTGAACGGTCACTATTATCGCAAAATATTTTTAGTTTTTAGTAAAGTCCACATTAATTTCTATGGGGAAATATGATAGTCACTATCTGGCATCTGTTAATGTATCAGAGTGCTGTCTCCAATATCAGTTAGTCTATCTAGAACCTGTGGCCCCAAACTTTTTGTAACTGCAAAATGTTTGTACGTCCACGTTATTTAATAGTAACATTGTAGAAACCACTGTGCTTGCGAACAACAATAAATAGCTCTCTCTTTAGATTTACCACTGAAATGTCCTTTTCTGTTCATATTTCATGAAATCAAATTATTGTTAAAAAGTAGGCAACAACCCTTCTCCATCTCTGATCAAAAATTTGTAAAAAAGTATTTCCCAACATATTAAACAATCGATTTCACTTTCAACTTCAAATTATTATGTTCTACCAAGAATTCCACAACGCCCAATAAATCCACTTTCGCGCAACTTTAAACTATATTTATCGAACGCATTACATCACGTCAAAACGCCTTCATATTCTCACAAAGCCTAAAATTTATGACAAAACTACATTGACGCAAACTCAAAGCTCATCGATTGATCTAAATGTCGTTAGTATACATATTATGTGCAATTGTATACCAGTTAATCAATACCTTATTTAAATATAGAATTTTAGTTCCAGTATTTATGATTCTGGCTTTAACTCTTGAGCGTAGAACGTTGCATGAAAGACGCCACTATCATTTGATATATGTGGTGTAAAGAACTTATAAATATGCCAAGAAAAAACAAATTTGATCTAAAAAATCACGATTATTTCGCAATTAGAGTATGGAAATAGAACTTTAACAGTATGCTGACGAACATACTAAAAAAGATTTTTTGGATATATTTACCACGATATTATTCCAAATAAATATATATATATATTATTTATTGTATAGTAGTCGCGGGCGTCCAGAAATAGGGCGCTGAACGGTGTACATTATTAGGTGATGCCATTGGGCCTATAGCTAGGTTTAGGAAGCCTAAAACTTTAGAATGAGATGTGATTGGTGATACGTTCACTCGCGGTATGGCTAATATGTGACTTTTTTAACCAATTTGAAATAATATCGGCGCTGCAATTCAGACGGAGCAAGCAACAACCATGTCCATCATATCCTATGGTGGGGGGTACTCCCGCAGTGTGTGTACCAGGTTAGACCATAATTTTATTCTGATTTTCCTCGTTTTAGTTTTATTACATGTTCGGGGACTGTCTGTGTTAGCCAAGTGAACATACCGTCCATGGGTTTCCGTCCCTTTACATAACTTGATGTAAAGTAGGCGAACAAAATTAGTTACCTCCATATTGGTACACACACTTCAGCAGCGCCATTCAAAATTTTAAGAACCGTTTTTTTTTTGTATCGAACTCGCCAACAACGTGCTCCTTCATTTCATATCACCGAACTAATAAACACACGGATTCGCTGATTATCACAAGATTCCAAGAACGCGTTCTCGCTAATACACGGAATCCCACCATCGATCATAACTCTCTGTGGTACTAAAACAGGAGTGGGCAAATCATGGCCCGCGAGCCGGATACGGCCAACTGAGGTGTTTCACCCGTTCCATTTGCGTCTGCTGAAAGTACGACTATCGTTTTTATGAATATAAATAACACGTCATAATGACCCAGATTGTTACTTCGTGCTTCTTAATATTTTGTAAACGTTTCTGTTCGACTAGGTGTAAATAAACTTTTTTTGGGGCTCCCGAAGTATGCGAACCAAGATGGCGGACATCGGAATGTAATGTGTGTACTAGGTTAGGGTTAAGCCATAATTTTAGGTATAATACTACGGGAGGCTCTTGGCTAGTCTTCGAACTGATAATAGGACTAAAATAAGGAAAATTGGAAAAAAATTATCGCCTAACCCTAACCTGTTACGTTCCGATGTCCGCCATCTTGGTTCGCATACTTCGGGAGCACCCTTTTTTTGTTCATAGTTTCTCATATCGAGTTTTGGGCCTCCAACCCAGTAACCAAGTTTATTATATGTAATTGGCCCACTCAGAAAAGTATTTGCCCACCCATGTACTAAAATGTACAAACCTTTGAACCCAATTCAGCAAAATAATTGAGCATGCGAAAGCATTTTTTATTTCTACAATTATCACAAAATACAACGATTAACAATTTCTCAAGTGCAGTTTATTTACAAGTCGCACAAGCCCGGCCAATCATGGATAAATACGACATGAAATTGTATATATATCATATGCTTGGTCGGCTGTGGTCAGTTTATATGACAAAGCAAATTAAAGGATCGTAAGGGAAAGAAAGAGTATTTAAAAAAAAGCTAAGCAGATGCGATGGCAGAAAATCCAATATTCAAGACAGGGGTATATTGGAAATTCAAAGTAAAAAAACTACTTTTTACTGTTAGAAATTTGAATAGGCAGAGAGGACACATTCTTCTTCTCATGCCACATACCACCCTAATATCTTAAAAAACAGGGAATATCTTGACTAAGTTGAGCAATAAAAGAGATATTAACGAGGCAACATTATATTCGATATCTAAACCATATTGTACTATGAAGTGACAGCCGATCAGACATTTCTGAACTGATAATGGCGGATCAAAATACTATTATGTTGGAAAATGTGCAAAGTCTCACTCAAAAGACTCACAAAACATATATAATTATGAACAACACTTAAAGTATTTTTTATATCCATAAACAATCGGTCTTTCAATGAGATATAATACTGATCATAAAAATGAATATATGACGAGGAAATGATACGGTGGGCAAAGAATGAAATAGAAAAAAAAGTGAAAATTTTCACTTGGGTGACGGATTGAGACAAAAAAAAGGAAATTGCTAACTTTACCTTTCACCAACATAGTTGATAGTATGATTCTCAGTGAGAAAGTGGCCGGCCATAAAGTGAAACCTTAAAATTAGTTATCAAACCCAAATAACTTTATTGGATATAGTTCCGAACAAAAAATGCTTTGAATATTATAAGAAGTTGTCAATTTCAGTGCATGCCAACAAATATGTTCAGACAAAACAAAAATAACACAAATTGCGCTGAAAATGGCAGTAAGAAATCTGAGATTAATCAGCAATTGAATCCATGGGTAATTGATTAAACCACGGTACATATACAACAGAGTGCCGCTTTGATATTAATCTGAAGGACACACCTGTTATCACATGAATACAATATCTATTAAAAGTACATTCGGATTGATATTTTCCACTCTCAAGCACATTTCATAGTTTTAAAAAAATGATTATAAGAAGAACATGAAGAAATACACAAAAATGTACTAACAATATGGTTGAAAATTGTGACTTTCAATCGAACGAGGCCTAGCAAACAGGAAAATAATTCGCATGAGAGAGAAAAAGTTTATTTTTTTGTTAACCAGAATACAGAAATATTCTTTTTCACAGGAAAACCAAATTTGTCGTTGTTATTATTCGTCAGCAGACAGATTTTTACAATCTGAAGGAAAAGTTGCTTTAGAATTTGAAGATTTGGGAAATAATAATTCTTTCAATATAATCCTCTTTTTGCTTGACTGGTGTCAAATCTGATAGGAAGTCTAATTTACATCTAATGGTTGAATAAACTATTTCCAGAGGTCCAGTATCTTAATTTTGCAAGTTAATACGACCTAAATGAAACATGCATTGTTTGTTTCAGTCTCATGACTGATTGTCTCACAATTTTCAACCAAAGAAAAAAATTACAGAAAAATGCTTCATTTGTGGTTAGCTGGCAAACCAGAAAAACAATAATTAATTTATATCGTATCAAGCTTATGCCATAGATATATGTAGAACACCTAAACGGCACACGCTCAAAAACACCTAAAATTAGTTTATAGTACAGTAGTTGGGTTAGCAATAAAAGTAATATTAAAATGTATGTTGCTACAAAATATATCTCAATTCTAGCACTGCATTATTATATAGATTTTTTTATTGTATTGTTTATATTTATCAAAATAAGAAAATGTGCATTCATTGTAAATAAATTTATGAAGAAATAGTTCTTAGACGCACCATATGAATCTAACATTTTGTTTGCCACAATGGGCAGCACAAATCAAAATCATAAGTTAAATCACTTCCAGATTAAAAAGCACCTCAACCAGTACTGCAAGAAGTTATTACATTATAAACTGTGCAAAGAAGGTATGTATAAAAAATTTTTGAGTGCATCCCCTGCATTAATGAAATACACATATTTTAATTCTTTTTTGCTTTGATATACCATCACTGAAATAAATGTCAAAACACTAACAACACTATACTTCATACTCTCGGAACATGTAAAGAGCTTAATTCACAACAATACTACGTCAAAATGAATATACCTTAGACTAACATATATATATATACAAGTACAGGTAACAGAATATACAGAGAAGTGAAGAGATACACATATATAGCAAGAAGTGAGTAATGACGTGACATAATGCATTCGATAAATATAGTTTGAAGTTGGAAAGATTGGGCGTTGTAGGATTCTTCGTAGAGCATAATAATTTAGAGTTGAAAGTGAAATCAAATGTTTATTATGTCGTTAAATACCATTTAACAAATTTTTTATCAGAGGTGAATAATGGTTGTTGTTGCCCACTTTCCAACAATAATTTGATTTCTTGAAATAAGAACAGAAAAGGATATTTCAGTGCTAAATCTAAAGAGAGAACTATTTATAGTTCGCAAGCGCAAAAGTATCTACATTGGTACAATTAGATAAATGGACATCAGGACTTAATGATTTTTCTGTCACTAGACTGCAAAAATTTCGCAGTTACAAAAAAGTTTGGGGACACAGGTACTGAATTTTCATTCAAGATAGACCCACCGATGTTTGAGACATTACTCTGCTACATTAGCAGATAGTGATTATCCTGTTCACCAATAGAAATAAATGCGGACTTTACTGAACATATTTTGCGATTATATTGGCCGTTCAAGAAGAAATTAATATACAAGAGACCAAATAATAAAAAGTTTATTCTCAATGATAGCTCAGGGTTTGAATCAAATATTTTTGAGAAAAAAAAATTCAAATAACCAAATTTTTGATTTTTGAAAACAAAAAAAATTCAATTCATTCCCTGAAATATCATTGAAACTTAACTAGACTTTTTTATATCGCACCATTGTACACGAGAAAAAACTTTTGATGACAAAAGAACGCATTTCACCTTAATACAACGAAAACAATCAAAACTATGTTTACTAAAGCACAAAAAATGATATTTATACAATATATGACTGCAAAATATTGAGAAAAAAAAAATTTATCATGCAGAAAATATACAACGAGTTTATGCCATCTGTTTCTCAAAGAACTTGTAAGTCGGATTCTCGTAACCGTTTTGTTGAAGTGCAAGAAGTTGTTTTTCTTCTGGTGAAAGTTCTTTATCATCTTCTTCAGGCTGTTTAAAAAAAACAGATGAATGAAGTGGAATTTTAGTGTTATACTTTGTATAATTTAACAAGCTAAACACAATGTTACTTATTTGACATGAAAAATTCCAGGCTGTTTTCATATGCAAAACATGAATATTGAATAACTCAAAGGTCAGTCTTATATCACACTTTCATAAGTTTTATTACAAAGCGTTTTGACAATCCATTTGAAATAGCTGTTTTCATTCCTGTGAGAGAACCCTTGCAGTCAATAACACAAAGAGTAAGGAGGTAATAAGGTAAAACACGGAACTCTAATTAATCGCAAAAAATTCTACTTGTATGTTTGGCAGTTCACAAAAAATATATAGATTGTAAATTTATATAAAATGTTTCTGCAACATCAATAAAAATAAAAACATTGAAATCAAGATCTCGCTGAAACTGGAAATAAATAACAAAATAAATTTGCGGGAAAGTTCAAAAAAGCTGAAAATCTTTTCAGAACATGCATGCTTTGCTTTGATGTATTAGTTGTTGAATAAAATTACTTTAATAACAATCTTCAATGAAATTGTGTGTTGTAGTTCATATATTTTTTCTTCAAGTCAAAGCAGCATTGCAAAAAAATATATAATTTGAACGCTATTTTGCATGTCAGTGTCAAACGCCAGCCGTGATGGTTAACAGTAACGAAAAAGCAAAAGCTACGTCTATACCCAATTAAGATTGAGAGAAAAAATTAATCCCAATTGAAAGCTGCATAGTTGGATACATGTTCAACATAATGGAAATGACATTTCAATACTGTAAGTTGAAATTTCGGTTCCATGGCTCATTTTACGTCTAGAAATAATTTGAATACCAATATGGAGGTAACTAAATTTGTTCGCCTACTTTACATCAAGTTTTGTAAAGGGACTGAAATCTATGGGCAGGGGGTATATCCACTTGGCTAACACAGACAGTCCCCGAATTCGTAATAGAACAAAAATAAGGAAAATCAGAATAAAATTATGACCTAACCCTAACCGGGTAGACATACCACGGGTACCAACCCTACAATAAATAATATAAAATAAATCAGTGCGTCGAATAAGCACTACCAACTAATTAATTCTTTGGTTGCAGAATCTTTGCAGAATTAATAAATCTAAAACATCAATATTTGAAACAAATATTGATTAATTCATTCAAACAAAAATTATTGGAAACTAAAATAAATAAAAGCTTTGTGTATGCTGAGTAAATTGCTTCAAAATATTCTGAAATACCTGGCTATATCAAAACCTCTTTATTTTGCTGAGAATAAATTGTATGAGTTGTCAATGAGATATCAGGGTTATTGGAGAAAGTTGGGCATGATTATAATGGAGTCAGCGCCTGGATGTAAAATCCGCAAATTCAGTAGCCAAAATTTTGAGTCTGAACATGTCAAAATTCGGGAGTTGGAATTTCAAAGTTTAATGATTTTCAAAGACGTAGACAAAAGTTCCATAGAAATTTGGCGTTAAATCAAAATTAGATTTCCTTGAGTAGAGGGTTAAAATTTTTGTCAACCTCAGTCTGGGGTCATTTTACAAATTGCTTCAGACTTTGGAGTCTTGCTAGTCCTATATTTTGAAGATTGCATGAAAAACTTTATTTTTATCGCATATATTTGTAAATTGTTTTCAAAAATTTTTCTATGATAAATAGTTGTCCCGACATATAAAGGTTGTGGGGCAGATTGGAAATTTTTCTATGTTTCTTACAAACTTATAAATCTAAACTTGCCCATTATGCAGAAAACGCCTTCCAGTAAAAATTCAAAATTCCATTTGGCTCAACTTGGCTAATGAAAGGATCAATCAATCGGACATTATCATAACTTCGGGATAATCTCAAAATCAAACCATGATTAATTCCAGTTCCATATTTTATTACAACAAGCAATATTTCGTAAAAACAACACACAATTCATCCCACATTCAAACAAACAAAGACAAGAAATTACCTTATCAATGACAATTCTCATTGCTGGTCGCATTGTTTTTCTCCTGACTACAATGACAACAATCACAATAGCGATGAACAACATACCAGCGCCCATTCCAGCCCATAAAACCCAGTGTGAAGAGATTTCAGCTGTGTTCACATTCTCATAGTAAAGTGACATTGGTTGGTCAACCTGTATACAAGAAGTGAATTTTTTTATAAATGATGTGCTATTCAAAGAATTTTGGTTTAGAGCGTTAGAGTTAACTATCTCGGGTTTACATCGCATGTACTAAATTGGCCAAATGCCAAAACGAGAAGATTCCAATACTTCTGAATTATGGCAGCTGATGATCTAGCAGCGGTCGCTTATGTGTAGTCTTGTTCAGACAAAAAGTAATATAAAAACATTATATATATAGGGGTCCCATAAAGTCTTTGAATTTTTTAAAATTGCAAATGGAATTTGTCGATACCATATATTGTTTGGACCCTCACAGATGCATCAAATGGATATCTTACCAGTTCAGTAATTTACCCTCGGTGAGTTGTTGGGAGCAGGTTTAAACCTAGGACCTGCAAACTAGCTGGTCTGAACCAATGTGAAACAATCCATATCTGAATATTAATGACTGATTGTGCAAGGTTATGATTCTGATTGTCGATCTCTCTATTTATAAATTTATCTACTAACATCAAAATCATCCTTAGGATCCCCATTGTATTTGAATAATTTGTCAACTTCTGTATCAAGAATTGTTTCATCTTCATTCTCCAATTCCTCGTCAAACTCTTCAATTGAGGATTTGATTGAATTCTGAAAAATGAAACGTAGGATAGAGATAAAAATCTCCTAATATGCTAAGAAAAGGAAAGCTAATGAGACAGCTCAGTGAACCACAGCCTAACGTCGGATCAGGCCATATCAGGTATAAGAATAGTTATTATTATAAGTTATTCGTGTCATATGCATATACTGGATGGTGAAGGAAGCTGTAACAAATCAAAGGGTGAACAATCCTGCATCAGTGAAAAATCCAGCAATAACTGTAACCCGCATGATTTGAACCTGATATTCAGTGCAGGGTAATCAGAATTGTGACAGCAAGCGCTAATGCCCAGCACCGATCTACATGTTTAGATTGAGTTAAAGTTATCATATCCTGAACTTTTCTTCAATTGAAGTGACTGGCGGAAAAGATGAGCAAAAATTTCCAAAACTATGATGTGATATGTATACGGCATCGCATGCCTAACTGTTTATTTATACTTTGATCAATAATTCATCCCGACTGCTGTCTCTCTATGACCTGATTTAAAAAGATTCTTCGACAATACGAAGTCAAAACCTTATTGAAATTTGTGAAAAGGTTTAGCTCATATCAAATTTGAATACAATTTGTCTTGTCACAATTAATGAAAGAGAAAACAAAACAAACTCACGTCATCGAAGTTGTCTAATTCATCTAAAAAATAAAATAGGAAAATAATTTTCATTCCCTGTATATGAAAAATCTTTTCATAGTATTAAACAAGAGTAAGGTTAGGAATTTTAAGTTAATTTGTCAAATATGACATCACTATTGTAATTAAACATACTGAAAAATAAGACAAATCAAACAGCATCCAATGGTTCGTGGGTCTAAAAAGTCTGTGGAACCAAATAATTCAATCTTAAAAACTTTTTAAATAGCTATAAACTTTTTTACAATATTCAATAGGAATGAGATATATATCTTAAACCTGTCATTTTTATGTGCTCTGTAAGTGTATGTACCAAAAAAAAGGTAACTGATTTTGTTCGCATACATTACATCAAGTTGTATGAAAGGGACTGAAACCTATAGGCAGGGGTATATCCAGTAGTGGGATTCAGCCGGTGCGCACCGGTTCTATAGAACCGTCTCACGAAATTTTATGAGATAAGCGAACCGGTTAGCATTACATGCCTTTTTGTAACAGAACCGCTTGATGAAAAATTTGAATCTCACCACTAGGTATATCCACTTGGCTAACACAGACAGTCCCCAAACTAGTAATAGAACTAAATTAAGAAAAATCTGAATAAAATTATGGCCTAACGCTAACCTGGTACACACACTACAGGAGTACTAATTTTACTAAGACTCCATTCTCATTCTTTCATCGTAGATGTTTGTTTAAACATACCTGTGAGAGGGATAGATTCCTCATTTACTTCTTCCTCCGGCTCTATTATTTCATCTTCAACATTATCCTTTGGATCAATAACTCCATTTGTGTCAATGTAGTCGAACACATTTGCGTTCCCTGAAAGTTTAGATTGAAAGGTTTATTCATTGAAAATTATGTATTCTTATAAACAAAAATGTCAATGAAATTAAAAAATATTTTGCAATTAATCAAGTTGTTAATCAAATGTTCAGCGATAACGTGACAATATTTTTGGCAGAGACGTTTTATATAATTCAACATGAAATAAACTGGATTTTTCGAATAAACAGTCTTAAATTTGTTGGCAAACACAACAGCTAACAAAGTAAAAATAAATGAAATATTTTCCGCAGAGCCGCTATATTTTGGTCCATTCTATGTAAGGACTCCTGGTACCTATGGTAACAAAGCTTATTTTCAAAAACCTTTTAAAAAAATATTTTTAGTATCTTTTACATATCACTGTGCCGCTCTTGGAATGAAAATTGATTTATCGACAATTGGTCAATTTTTTGTCTCTATTTTCATATTTTACAAACAGGGTGAAAAAATCAAGTTACAAACCTGGGCAGCTAGCTTGGCATTCCTCTAATGTATGAAAGTTATTGTCGTTGCCACCACAACCTCCGTAGTAAAATACTTTGCATTTCTCTTCGTTTGAATCATAATAGAACATGGGTAGAGATGCACGACAATGTCCAACTACAGCAGGAAGTGTGCAGACTAAATACACAAATCAAATATGAATGGGTGTTCAGAATCGAATAATTTTTTGATTTGAATCGAATTGAATATAGTTCTCGAATCGAACTGGATAATCGAATATTATTGTGCAATCTTACTGGTGCATGGTAAGAAGGAAAGAATTTCTCATAATGTTAATACACATGAGCAGTGCGGAAACTGTATACAAATCAAATTATTAAATCAAATTTTACATAATAAAAATAACGTTTTTTTAACTAGAGATCTCAGGCGTACTTGAAAGAACAGAATTTTTCATAAGAGAGTGAAAAACGCATATAAAAAATTTCACTGTAAGATAGGTTGAAATAGAAAATAATTTTAAAACTGCCTTTTTCTAATAATGTGTATTTCTAACAGTGCAATTATGTTAACCATAGAATATTTGAGAGATTCCTATTCAAAAACACCTATTTGAAGCAAGATGTCAAAGTTTTATAAATACATTGAACTACAAAATGATAAAGTATCTATTTCGAACTCCATGACATGATAAATCTGGAATTCACAAACTCACTGTCTGGATCTGGTATTCCACCTCCATCAATCACTATGGATGACACCTTAGGGGTTGTCATGACGATATCCTCATCGCCATCGACAACTTCTTCCTCTATCATGTCATCCATGTCTAAATCTTCAATTTCGTTATCATCCAATGGTGTGGCAGGAATTGTCGCCAGAATTTCCTCTGTAAAAGAGGAAAAATATTTTTTGCATACTATAAATAAAAATGAAAAATAAGTACTCAACAAGAACTTTTATTGGGAAGTATTTAGACGAATATTCAGAACTTATCAACTGGTGCTCAAGTTTAGTTGATATAATGTTCTACAGGGTGTCCATGATGTTTCGCCCAATTTTATAAACGCAATTGAAAATTTCTTTGTCTTCGTTTATTGATAGTTCTTTTTGAGCTAGTAGTTCTCATTTATCATACAATAAAATTTGTTTAAACTAACAATTGAATTACCGGTACTTAAAGTTAGGGCCAAATATTTTGGACTGTTTACATCGATCTACTCTGAAAAAATAGTGGTGAATGCATTCAATTTGAACAGTTCAGTAAATAATGAGAAAATTTATCAGTAACCAGAGAGATACATCTTCATAACCTATATCCATTACAACACAAAATTTGGTATACATGACTACCAGTTGATCTAAATAAAAGATGACATTATGAAAATAATATATCAGCAAAATTTCACAGAGAAAAACAGATGAAAAATACTAGATTATTTCGGGATTTCATGTTAGTCTCAAAACAAATTTTTAAAAAATATATTCTTCTGAATGCGTGTTTTTATCGGGATTTCAAAGTTTTAAGATAAATTTTAAGGCATATAATGATGTTAAATTCAGGTTATTTTTGAAAAATTTGGAGATCTCACTCACCAACTTCTTCTTGAATTCTTGAAAAAATATCTGGATAATTCTTCAGCAGAGTTCTTGTCTTGTTGACTCGATTCTAAGAAAAACAACACAATTAATTCATGCATCATAAATTTTTATATTTCTGGTACCATAGAATTCAGATATAAAAACGGCCCAGATCCTATTTTCAGACTATTTAGCTACCGAAAACAGCACGGGGGGTAAACCAACCAAGCAATACTTCCTGAGTATAAATACTGATTTGCTGGTCTCCTGCGGTCGTTGTACTATAGTACAGCATAAGCAACAGGTAGATTATGTCTGGCTACCGGCTTTATATTCTTCTGTTATTTGTGGTAATAATTGGACTGGTAAATATTGCTTGTGCTCGATGAAACATTGAGTTATACCAACAAGCAGTCTCTAGACAGGGTCATTTTGGCACTCTCCTCCAGCTTGTTGTCAGGGATGCCAGGAATGAATTTAAAAAACATGATCAAGAAAAACTATTCTCAAACATTTTGAGGCTTGCAACCTCCCACTCACATCAATTTCATTTAGTTGGTTCTTGAAGTCTGGAACACTCGCTTCATCAAACTCTTCATTGATAGCCATGTAATAATGCTGCATTACATGAGATTTATCTTGCTTTTCTACTTCAATGTATTTATCAAGAGCATTGAGGATGTGTCGATACTGAAACGCAAACACAATTTAATTTAATATTAAAAACCAAGTAAGACTGTTGACCTATTCACAAAATCTATTTGACTTTTTGGTACCCCGGATTTTCCTTATTTTAGTTCTATTACGAGTTCGGGGACGGAGACTGTATGTGTCAGCCAATGAATATGACACCTGCCCATAGATTCCAGTCTCTTTACACAACTTGATGTTAAGTAGGCGAACAAAATTAGTTACCTTCATATTGGTACACATACTTCTGGAGCGCCGATTTTTTTAACAAAACAAATTTATGCAACAAAATAATACAAAGTTATGATTTTTGCATTCTTTTAACAGAACTTTATTAGAATTATAAATTTCAATTTTCATTTGAATAATTTTGGCAATTTAAGAAACATGAGCCATGTAGATTGTAAGTCAGGCTCGATGATGAGACTGAGCCCTGACTGAGATCATCAGGCTCAGAACGCTTGATTCAAAATTGATTGTTTCTTTAGAATTACTTTTTATGGGGAATCTTTACATCTTCATTCTGAACAAGGGTATATTCTTGAACATGAACAGTAAAACGAGAATATCGGTCAGAGACCGAAGACTTATCGATCGAAAATTAGGGGATCCCCCAAAACAGCGCTCTTAGTCCATAGTGACACCTTGTGTCCCATCACTAATTAATTAATAACTCGCTAATTATACGACATAATTCGCCCAAAATCAATAGGCTTCTGGTCCGAGATAAGATGAATGCAAATGCAAAATCTGGAGCAGATTCAATCTCGCTTTCGTGAGATATCGCGTGCATCTAACAGACAAACAAACAGACATACAGACAGACAAATACCTATCAACATACTTACCGATTAAAATCGATAAGTAATAAGCTGGGAACTAACATGACTTTCTGAGAAAAAAGAATAAAAATTACCTTACCTTAGGTTTATCACCTTTCAACAAATCCAGGAATTTTTTTAAAGTTTTTGTTCTTTCATTGTTTATCATCTGGTTCATTCTATCCTTGTGATATTCATTCAATGAATCCATCTTTCCATCGTATTCATCTTCTAAGGCTGTGATTGTCCTTTGTAAATCCTTGAATAAATAAAATATTATTAATAATTCGGTGCTACAGAAGTGTGTGTACCAATATGGAGGTAACTAATTTTGTTCGCCTACTTTACATCAAGTTGTGTATAAAGGGACTGAAACCTATGGGCAGGGGGTATATTCACTTAGCTAACACAGACAGTCCCCGAACTCGCAATAGAACTAAAAAAAGGTAAATCGGAATAAAATTATGGCCTAAACCCAACCCGGTACACATACCACACGAGTACCAATAATTCTTCAAACTGATTGTACGTTTCAACCAAAATTCTAAGTAGTTAGTGGCCCCCTGTAAAGTTGCTCAGAGAAAAGTCTCTTACTTCTGAGTGAATAAGCGTTTTATTACAAAAATTGTATGAAAAGCAAGCCTGACAAAAAGCGAGTGTTCAAACTAGAGCATTTTTAACTGCAAATGGTAGTACACGTCCCATGTAGACAATTTTTTGAGGGAGTGTGAAGCAAATTATAAATAAAATTATTTGTTAAATTTGAATTTGCCCGCCTTGTTTTCCATATTAACATTTCTTTATTATGTACCCACTACCCACATGTAGGGCCATATTTTCAACTTGTTTTTTATGTAAAACATATTTTCACCTTACTATCTGTTATTTGTAGTTTATTGTTAGTTAGTTATTTTTGAGGTGGGGCGCGATATATGCGGCATAAAACGATCAAACTCACATCTTCCAGTTTACGTAATCTCTCTTTATCTTCATCTGAAAGATGAGCGTTATCTTCATCCCATTTCGCAAGAATCTGAAATATATCAATACTTCATAAAATGCGAATATAGGAAAATGTTCATGTAGTTTGCTTAAATTTTTCAAAAAAAATTTGGTTTTCAAAAAAGAACTGATAGGATACAAAAATGAACATTCAGGATAACAAAATTTCCAGAAGAGAAAGACAGCAAATTAATATTTTTCATATTCAAGGCAGAAACTGGTCCTTCGCCCTAACCCTCAGCATGATATGCCAAGTGCCTAGCGAGAAAACATGAAGATGCACTTATCATGTCTGCTATGAACATACATCAGCAAGAATGCTGTAGGAAGAGTAAAGATAACTATTCAAAGCAATTCAATAGTCTTGCTGCACACTAACACAAATATATTTCTGAAACGTTACCCAAATATATTTGTGTTAGTGTGCAGCAAGACTATTGAATCATTTAAGATAGTTATCTTTACTCTTGCTACAGCATACTTGCATTATTTGCATACGGATCCGCCGGCACAAAAGAATAGAAGAAAGATAAGTAGTTAATCCAGCAGAAACCGAATCATCAGAATAAAGAGCTGCCAGAAAAATTTTAAAATCTTAACCGATGCTGATCAATGATTTATTACAACAACAAACTTCTGATATGTTTCTCCCTAAAGACCGGCAAAATGTACAGTGCCACTTTTGTAATGCATTGGTATTTTCAAGCTTTCCATACAAAATTGAAATCCAGCTATGTAACCTTACCTTGGTTACTTTATCCTGGTGTTCGTTCTTTAAATTTTCGAGTTTTTTGATGAAGACATTATGTTCATCATTGATTGTTGTTTCATCATTGTAAAATACAGGATCAATGGTTGTGGTTGTTTCCACAGTAGTGGTTGCTAAAATAAAATTATATACTTATTCTGAGTGGACCGAATAATGTAGAGGAATGTTTTGGTTGCGCTACCGTTGTAGTATAGGCTTCGTTAGACCATAATCTAAATTCTTTAGACAAAACACGATATGCAACAAAATGCAAATATCCATTTCATATTTTAAACAGGGATGGCCATAAATGAATACCTGACTATTTTGAATACATTCTAAAAAAATATTCTTGAATCTGGAATTCCAAATTCTAGATTCCGCCACATTTTAATCACTTTTCAAAAATCCATGGACTTAAGTATTACGGTATGCTTTAATAATATTATCATTGTAGAGCAGGCATAAATATATATGGCATGCCATGTGTGATATGATAGAAATTGGTGATTTTCTCGCTTTTAAGAAAAGAATTAATAAACATTAGAGCATTTATGCCTATGAAGTTCGATACACACTCTACAAGTACTCTCTGTACTGGGATGATATTTATATAATAATGAATAACTGAACTAAAAAGCCAAATATTTGAAGGAATGTGAATTAAGAATGTTCACTGATTAATAAAGGAGGCAGGTTATTGAATCATATAATAAAGATATGGATTCTTGAGGTCAATATGTTATTTGAAAAACAAGTCACCACAAATATTCTTCTGATAATAAAAAGTTATTTTAGGTGTTTAGTATATTTGCATGGGATAAGCCTTTCAGAAAGAGATCTAAATACAGGGTGATTGCTAAAAAAGCAAAAAATTTGAAGATTAGATGAGATCACAAATAAAATGCATGTAGGTAGAAGTTGAATTGGAACGATGTCCCACAAGTTATTAACTTTCAAAATGCCACATGAGCTTAGAATTCTAGGTTAAGACACCGCTCTGAAGTGCACAGACGACATTTTGTTCTGTGGGTGTAATATAACATATGCCTTTAAAAAACTTTGTAAAAGTTATTCTTGGTAAAAATATATCACTGTTTGTCAAATTTTCTGTTTTTATAGTGACCACTCTGTAGTTTGTGTATTTATTTTTCATAATTTAAAGATTGTGATTGCAGCAAAATGTGTTCAGCATCAAAAAATATTGTGAATCTTGTAATATCAACATTATCAAATATTCTGAATTGTAAAACCAGATCAAACTGGATCAGGTTTTTCAAAAGGCTGACTATTGGCCAGAAAGCCTCACTAGGTATCACTTACAATGACAACTTTATTTCACAGAACAATAAATGTTTGTCTAATTCTCGACTGTAATGCATTATTTTTTTTTGCTTTCGTTTGTTGGCTTTTTTACTATCAGATGTGGAGCATAAAATACTTTAATCTTAAAAGCAAAACTAGATAGGGGAATAGCAGTGGCTGCAATTGTTTAGAGCAAGGTTTTTGAATCAGGGGCCAAATACTTTGCAAACTCTAAATATTCGCAATCTCAAACAAATTCCTTTAGCCCTTTTTTTAGCTAAAACATCAAAATTTGATTTTAGTTTGGTTCTGGGAGCATCAGGCAGGCCAGATTGAATTACCCAGCAGGCCGGATATGGCCCATGTTAGGTTTAGAGGCTTAGAAAGGAGGTCTCTCGGATTATGAATTCCAGGAACGGTTGAATTAGATACTAGTTACAGAATAACAATTTCTAAGAGACATAAAATCCGATTTGTACCTTCAGTTTTCATTCCTTCATCTAACAACACAGGACCTGCTTCAAAATTTGGGAATCCGAAGGGTGGTTCAATCTGAATTCGTCCTGTTTCTTGGTTTGTATATCCTGTAAAAATGACAGATATCTAAGGTTAGAACTGTTTGGAATAGAACTAGAACAAGCTCTTTTTAATAAATTGCAAGTATATCTGTAAGCTTTCGCTAGAGCATTGCCATAGTCTTCTGACAAATCATGGGCGCTCCAAAAGTATATGTACTAATACAGAGACTAATTTTGTTCGCCTACTTTACATCGAGTTGTGTAAGTCTGCGAACTCGTAATAGAACTATAATAATGGAAATCAGAACAAAACTATGGCCTAACACTAATTTGGTACACACACTACGGAAGTACTAATATATTTTAGTGAAAAATGAATTCTCAAACTTTTTTACCAACCTTTGCATTTTGTCACACAGTCATCCTGCATGAAGAAATTGTTTGCGTTCCCACCACACCCACCAAACACAAATTTCTTGCACAAACCATCCGTAACATCATAATAAAATCGATCAAAGTAAGCCAAACAGGATCCTCCATCAGGCTTCAAGCCGCAAACACTTCGGTCAAAATCAGTTTTTTCTGAAAATGATAAAAATAACTTAAGTTCTTTAACAATGGCATATCATAACTCTTACCAGAATACATTTATAACAATTTACTAAGGTTTAAAATTTTCGAGTGAATTTACTTGAAGTGCACTCAGCCAGTGGTAAAAGAGAACCACCTTCGAGAAAAGATATAGATGACTCCTTAAATGCCAACAGCTACTGATACTATACAGATTTATGGTGATTGACCTAACTGCTTTAATAATATTCAGCCTCCAATCTGAGTCTTGAAGCAGTACAGGGGCATATAATGATTGAGAAAACAGCACAACTGATGTTTTTGGAAAAGTACATGTAAGAAGAGGAAAGAGGTTGTGGTTCTATTTTGAATCTGTGCATCAAGTTCCCATGTCTTGTAGCAAGGACTATTCATGGCAACAAGGATAAACCAATATATAGCTGTCATATCATAGGTATTGCTGGCAACTTTTCGAATACTACTACAATTCCCACTTTTTAATTGATTGGACAAGTTTGACTTTGAAGTGAAACTAGTAGGCCTATTATAAAAAAATGGGGCCTTTTACTGAAAACTAGAAAGAATTGTATTTCTGTAAAGTTTCGTTACTTAAGAGTGAAATCATACTTTTTCAGACAAAAATATTTTAAATATAGGCTAACATGTTGGCTTTACAGCAAGACAATTTGAAATTCAATTCAGATAAAATGCAACTAAGAGACGCATGAAATGATTGAATTTACCTCTATAGTGGAAAAGTTCAACAGACGCATTGATTACACTAAAACGCTTGTCGACGTGTTTAAAAGAATTCAGGCAATCATCAAATGGAATATACGAGAGAAATAAAATTTCCTCAGCCACTGTTTAAATTATTCAAGCCTGATCTTTACTTTATTGTCTATCTAAAATAAATTGCAACCCTACCCTTTTTTATAAAACCTTAATCTCACTCGAAAAGCTATTTTGGCAAGACACGATAATCTCCATGAAATTTTCATGAGTACTGGCGCTATTCAAAATTGGGTTTTTTAACCTCAACTTAGACATGCATAAGGAATACACACTTTCCCAAAAGGAATTTGGTAAACTTAAGCAGATTGTTTGATTTTTCTACAGAATACCCCATTTTTTCTAAATTTATTAATCCTGAATGAAATAAATTTAGTCTGGTAGAATGCCCGGATGTTAATTTAATGGCGTCCAGAAGTGTATGTACCAACTAATCTTGTTCGCCTATTTACATCAAGTTGTATAAAGGGACTGAAACTTATGGGCAGGGTGTACATTCACTTGACTAACACAAACAGTCCCCGAACTCGTAATAGAACTAAAATAGAGAAAATCGAAATAAAATTATGGCCCAAACCCCAAACCTAACCTGGTACACATACTATGGGAGTACTAATTCAATTTGAATGATCTGAATAAATTTATTATGTCATAGATTAGTTGGTTTGCGATCTCAGCAGCTGTGAGATCTCGGTTATTTTAGTAATAACCTAACCCTAAGTCAACAATGACGACAGCGTTAGGAACTCAATTCTATGAGAATGATTTTATGTGATTAAATGAGAATATCTTTACGAGATTTATAAATGTCTGTATGAAATCATGTTATGCAAGTGCGATCATGCACTGAACCAGTTTTATGATGTTGAGATTGCATATTAAAGATTCATGGGGCTGATTAGTTTCATAAAACTAAATCATCCTTACTAGCTTTATCAGGTTGGCATTTAGACACACATTCTTCTCTCGATTCGAAGTTATTATCGTTTCCTCCGCATCCTCCGTAATGAAAGTATTCACATTCATTTGTGTCAGAGTTGAAAAACCAAGCAGGTAGAAGGGCCCGACATAACCCGATTCTCTTTGGTTGCAAACAGATTTCATTTACTAAAAATAAAGATAAGAATCGTAACTTGTAAGCATTAGAATAAAATAGCAAAAATTCAAATTTTTCTTATTGATGTGGCTATGTGCAATGAAATAATCATTCTAAATATGAATAATGCAAAATAAATTTAAAACAACATGATCTGTGCGTTATGCCAACATGTAATTTTAAGATATTTACAAAGCACTCAAAAATAGCACCCATAAGTTTTTAATTTTTTTCTACGAAATTGAAGAAAATTTAGTTAACTCTTGAACTTTTTTTTGTGTATGATTGTACCTAAAATCTGTGATCTACGGCGCTTTGTACAAAAGCTAGGATAGGTTCCGAATGACCTGAGTTCTGTTGATAAACAATTACCACCGAATCAATAATATTGAATCACTATTCAATATAGTTGTGAATGAAGCCTACTGGTTAATTCAGCTTGGGAACTGAACAATCAGATAAAATGGTTGACATTTTAGAATGGATAAGCTGAATGTATCTCCAGGGAGCTGATATAAAAAGCTGTGATAAACACAGAATTTTGATAAAGCTATGTTTGAAGCTAAAATAGTTTTTGGCATAGCTTAGAGAAAGCACATTAGAGAGAATTGATGTCAAACTTTTTCCATATACAAAATTGTTACCCCTAAAACTCGTTAGACCTTTGGGAAATGAAGGAATTATAATTCGTTAAAATTTAAAGTATTATTATTATTCACACTACTGCTGAATTTGAAATACTGGAGTTAAAAAATATTCATAATGTTATGGCTGTTTTTGAGTTACATTTAGATTGTTTGCACTCACCATATTTACATATTATATCCTGTACTCATGTTTGGATGGAAATAAATTTAATTTGTTTTACTTAATTTACAAAAAATAATAAAAATAGACTTACTGTCACTTTTTCTATCCACAGTCTCCATATTTGCCGGTTTTGGCAAAACTTTTGCTTTAGCTTTGTTGGTTTTAGGTGTTGAAAGAGTCGGTGTTTCACAGCACAAGAATTGAACACCTTGCCATTCATCAACCTCGGTACATGATTTCGGTATCTTTGTTTTTGGCACTGTTTTCAACATCTGGGTTTTATCGACTGTTTTTCCCTGAAATAAATGATGATTGATAGTAAAAATATGAAAAAGTTGATGTTTTAAATAAGATAAACAGTTTTGATATAAAACATGACTTTAATGTTTTGAAGTTGGCAAATCTCGCCAAAAATGCATGATAGTCATAACTGAATCAAATGATACATCATTTTATCACATAATTAGTATTACTAATTTTATACAATAACTTACTGACATTTAATTTTGAGGTTAGATAAAACACAATTTCAATAACCAATATAAAAATATAGTTGTATATGTAAAAATATGTAAATCCTTAGTCAAATTGCATTTCTACATCTTTAAATTATAAATATTATATAATATCCCATTGGGGGATTATTTTAAATCAGAAAATTTCACAAAAATCAATTTCGAAAACAATTTTAAAATCTGGACAACATAAAATCCTTAATTACAGGTACCGGAATAAATAAATATTAAATATAAGGAGTTCATCAAATAACAAAGGTATTAAAATGCAAATAAGCATTTTCTCTTTACCACAATATTATTAGAATCCAGGAAATGCAAAATCAATTTAATCCACTTGATTATCATATTCAAACATATTATTGAGTTAATACTATCTTGACTTGATAATGACGGAATGGGTATATTTGAAGAGCCCTTTTACTACGTAAGAGGCTAATTGTGTAATATTATTTTACAATAAATCATTGTAGATTTTAAAACACTCCAAATGTATTTTGTTATAGCTAATAAATCTTGGAAAGATAATGACAAAATAGGTATATTTATTATGAGCTACTCGAGTACAATATTTAACGAACTATAAGGCGGACTTTTCTCATCAAAAATTGATTGTGTGCTTTATAAGCAGAGTGTGCCCAATGTATGAATCAGGTAGTGCTTTACGTTATATTGCCCGCACTCAAAACCAGCACCATGATTGCTTAAAAAAAACGTTGCATCTTGTATAAACAAAAACGCAATCGAAGCAATTGATTGACAGTGCATCTTACAGTTCGGTTCAGCAAAATTTGAACTTGAGATGTTTATCATGTTTTCAATTAATAAATTTAAAACACTCTTATTAAACACTGTCTTAAAAAGAATTTTCACTTTTGCACTTGAGATGGCTGGGAAATAATGTTTTCAATGAAAAATCAAAAATGTAATTTTAATGACATTTTGAAGTATTATTTGATTTTTAAGTGACGTTTTTGTGCAAAATGATCATAATTATTTAATATAAAATGATTGATTTATTCAATAAATACTGAGCAACTCGACTCAGTGTTCAATTAATTAACGGTAATAGTTTTTTAAACATTACATTTTCAAACTCAGATTTGCAAGAACCTCCATCGCAACCTTTCATACTGATAACCTTAATATAATAATTGAGCAAAACAAAATATTAGCAGAGTTTGTTAAAAGTTGATGCTTATAGTTATCAAACATCTTTGCTAAATATATTATGTTGTATCTGACGTGTAGTCAGACCTGTTAATGATATTCTAATTCAATGATTATACTTAAATACCCCAGAAGAGCAAATTTAGGTTAAAATAGAAGAAAAATTTTGTAATTTTGAACAGTTTCCTTATATTCTGTTTGTATTTTAATATCTGATTTTGTACAGGCCCTTGTCTTGTGAATATGACACAATCGAAATTTACTTTTAGGAAATTAGACTTGTTAATATTATGCTTTCAATGAGATTAAACTTTATTCAATTTTGTGAAAATGCTTTTCGTACAAGGTTTAGAACATGTAATGAGACCACATGACAAGATTCTAATTTTGTGTATAATGCTGTACCATGTTTATTAAAACAGATATGGAAAGTATAATTAGGAGAACGGGGCAGAAGACAAAGGTATTATACATAAACATAACATGTGCTTAAAATGTGTACTACATAGGTATTGCGTAATAGGCAATGTATATGTTATTATAAAAGTAATTTTTCAAATAAAAGAATGCTATAAATTTTTGTTTTAATATTTTACAATTTTGTGGTAAAACAATATATATATATATATTGTGTTGCGCGGTAGCAAATGTACATGATTATACATATATTGTAATTATTTGAAGGCCTATTTGGCTAATTATGTAACTTCTCAAATATAAAGATGTTCACCTAATTTTGATGTCTATAAATTTTAGGTTGAAACAGCACAATTCCAGAGAATTCAATTGGAGGGCAGTCCAAAATTAAAAGGCTTGAAAACAGGTTGAATTTTCCGGTTCAAATCCGATGCCCACCCCCTTAACGCAGGGTGTAACATATCGGGTAAGGTAGGCAAAGTGCTGAATTGGAAAGGTTCAGGTCCTACCAATCTGTGGTTGCCTGTGCAGAGCCTTGTTCAGAGTAAACAAAATATTAAAAAAAGATGGTCAGTGAAAAACAAACAAAAATTTTCTATCTTCGATTAATCATCATAATTCGTCATATTTGTATTTGAATAATCGAAGAAATAATATTTGATGAAAGAAATGTGATTCAGTATTCAACCAGATACTAAGCCATTCAGATGGAAACAAATTTACATAAAATCTAATATAATTGTGTTTGAAAACCTCACATTCATCACTAAAACCCATGACAAGCGCCAATAAATACCTACACAAACATTGCCGAACCCTTTTCGATCAATTTCACAAGGCTATAAATCTTTGTTCCAATCAAACATGGCCAGAAGATGGAGGTTGTAATCAAAGCATAGCCCAAATACGGACAGCGTTGAAAGCACAACAATTTTCAAAGTAATAAGAGAGGGGATGGTGGTATTAAATTATTCAAGAATAGCCCTAAAAGCCAAGAATCAATAGTTGAAAATTATTGATCTCATGGGAGTGCGAGTGGACATCAATTTTTCATGCATTCCCGTAAGCAAGAAACAGACAGCAGGTGGAATATAGGTGAACCTATAAACATATGACCATTTTACGCAACATTAAACTTGTTTCAACGTAATCCAGACGGCGTGGTGGGTGACTCACTGGGACAGATGAGAATTCTGGAAATTTCCTTACAATTAAAATATACGCCAGTGGATCTGTAATCTGTATGTGGTATTATTCAACAATATTATTATTAATGCTTAATAACTCCCATAGTTTTATACTGATTGTTTTAATATGCATAATGCATGCAACTGTTTTTCTTATTATAGTGGGACTATGTAGGCCAATAGTTCTCAACCCTTTATGACTCGTGGCCCCCTTTCGGAGGCTTTTAGCACTCATGGTCCCCACTTTAATATTCCAGAGGTATTAATAGGGTTATTTTCATTGATAGATTCCAAATCCCATTATGTTAAAACAATTTGCATAAAAGAGAGCGAAAACACCTTGAGCAGCAAACTAGGAAAAACTGTGAGATTTCTTTTAAAGTGAAAAGTAAATTCAGATTTCAGCCCATCCTTGTGGCCCCCCTCCAACTCCTCTGAGGCCCCCTTAGGGGGCCGAGGGCCCCCGGTTGAGAACCGCTGATGTAGGCTATGTCCGAGGAATACAAAACGGTACAGAAATATATTTGTGTTAGGGCGTAGCACGACTCTTGAATCATTTAAGATAACTAAAATATATATCTAAATATGAATTTGATAGCATTGATTCTCACATAATTGGGATGTACGTATTACAGCGTACTGATTCGATAACTGCACATAAGATATTATTGTAGCAGGCATATTCCTCTATGCTCTATGTTACCATTCTTTATTAATAAAATTAGATAGACCAGGGTACTGAAACTGAGCTTTCTTCCACCTAGTTCTCTGAAGGCCTCAAGCAAAAGGCTTTCCTTAGGTATGAACGGCAATGACTACAGTGATTATGACTTGTTTAAATCTTACTTAAAGATTACTGATAGAAATGTGATAAGAAGAAATCTAAGTATTTTTATAGATAAGCAGCCACATCGATTGAAAGTGTTTGGAATCACAGATCATGAGTTTGATAACCACTGAGATAAATCCTATCTAGAAGTCTGCTTGCCTATCTGGAGACGTATTCGAGGTGAAGGCATGAAAAATGTCACCTAAAAAGCACATATCATCACCTACTTCACTTCCTTAACAATGTGAATCAACTGACAGCATTTTTAACAACATTCTCGAGTGTTTGACACTCTTGAGTCTGACTAATAATTTACCTGTGACTGGCATATTTGAGCTGCTTTCTCTTCCCAATATTGTGGTTGATGACAGGTTTCATAATCATGAGTGTGTTCAAATGTGCATCCTTCACCAACTTCCAATGCCTTAGGTTTGTATTCACCTTCTGTCAAATTGAAAAATGTATTTAGACATGAAATGAAACTATACGACATTCTGCTAAAGTGTAGTTTATGATATGGATATCAAAACAAAAACACATTTTTCTATTAGCTACTGAACAAATGTGATACCAGATTGTTAATAATAGTTAAATGTCGGAATGTTTTCCAGAAGGCTTCTACTTTTATATTGTGTCAAATTTTTTACGACCCATTGTTCTCCTAAGTGCTGTTCATTAATGAGATATGGATATCGTAACAAAAACAAATTTTTCTCTCAGCAAATTTATCTCGGGTTTTTAATAGTTAAAGATAAGAGTGTTTCCCAGAAGGCTTCTACTTATATAACCTATTTTGTCCAATTTTCTGCAACCCATTGTTTCACTGAGGTATTTTCCTGTGTAGATGATCCCCAAATTTCCAGCATGACTGATTTAGGCACATGACTAAAGTCATACAGATAATGGACATTTTCTGTGACTCATTTTTGAGTATGGCTCTCTTATTCTTCATTAAATAGCAAGATGTCGGACAAATACCAAGTTATATATTAATAATAATAATATAAACTAAATTCAACGATTTGAAGTACAATACATATTGAGCCATACAGTTGTAATTCAGTTTGAGTTGAAACTAATAAACAATAAATAAGACTAATAAACTTATATTAACACCTACCAATGCACATTATTGGTTTGACATTATGGCCATGCCCTTTGCAAGGTGGTGGGCTTCCAACATGACACCATGAAGGAATATGAGTCTTCTCACTCCCTTCTACTATATTCTTGATTTGCAAGGCTGGATATACCTGGATATTAATAAACAAAACAACATAAATTGCCGATGGGATATCACTAAAACAATATTAATTACATAACAAGAGGGAATTGAAAAGTTTAGCAGATTTGCTTGAATGAATGAACTTTAAAAGACTTGAGCCTTACTATTGTCAAAGTATATTAAAATGACTTCACCAGGCCTAATAAGCCAGATTTATGAAATGATTTGACTTGACTTGAGTTGTATCAACAAGTCAACATTGCTGTTATACTTGTAGAGTATATCGTATATATATTAATATATATATATCGTATATATATCCTTGCATATTAGCAAATCTTGCATATAAGCCAATCCCCTAAACACGGCTCTAAACGGTGAATTTATAAAAATTTGCATATAAGCCAACCCTACAAATCGTAGCCCGCCGTGTACACATTTGACAGCAAATGGTTGCTTTAGTTGGATAGAGTTATGTGCGTATAAGTCAAATTTTTAGTATGATCAGATTTATTCGCGTATACGGTAAGCTAAATTTTTAGTTTGATCAAAGTTATGCAACTGAACCCTTAGTTTGACAACTTTTTTTAGTTTTAAACTCTGTTTATATGCGGTATATACAATAGTTCATCTATCAAATAATGGGGTTGGTGGTCCTCAAAACTTCAGAAGATAAGACTTGAATATGACTATTGGCTACACTGCTCAAGTCATAAATGACAGATTAGCTGGTATTTTCAAACAGTTGGCTATACTCAGGGTGTTCAATGGTAATAACATTAATGTTGCATAATATGTAAGTCAAATAGCTGACTATTGTATTACTCCCTTGGATGACATAATATATGAAATCATTGAAGGGGATACAATATCATAATAAACTCGTGAGGAAAATGAATCATGTGTAATTGACAGAACAATAACCTGACATCAATGGGATTTATTTTAATCCCTCATCAAAATATGATTGCACAATCGAGGGTGAATGCCTCAGCATAGTGCATCTGGAACATTGATACAAGTAATACAAATCACATTTACTCAGAGGTGATTATAAAAAATTACATGGTTAGATTCCTGAATCCCAATAAATCATTTTTTTATTAGGAGGCAAAACGATTCAATAGTGAGTATTTCAGTGGAAATAATTATAAGACCATAAATCTGCCATAGCTTGAAAATTTGCACTCCCAATTTTTACTAAATTTGAACAGGAATCTATTACTAAGTATGATATATTCTTTACCTTTTATTCAAGATTTTGCGACCTTGATTTGAGGTAGTAAACTTTTCATAAAAATAAATTTTACAAATAACCAATCAACAAAAGGACCAAATAAAGTCTTCACTTTAATAAAAATGATTCGTGCAATTTTATTTAACTTGATCAAATTTAGCTTATGTGGTATTTCATATATGAAACCCTTAATTATTCAATCTGGGACCTCCTCGCTATGTGCCCACCTTTTTGCAATAATTTAATATTTCTTCTTTATCTTCAATACAATCAGTGTTGCCAGATTCATCTGTAATCCACACCCCAGTTTCAATATCTCTGTGTTGGGTCACTCTTCCACAGAACATTGCCAATGATGGTTGATAAGGTGAACTTCCATCAGAAACAGCCTGAAAAAGAAAATTGTAAAGTGAAGTGTTGGGCTTAACTTGACATCACATGTTGGAAAATCCATGTTGAATCTCCATAAATCAGATAGGAAACACAGAACCAAAAAGATTCAGAGGTTCACAAATTCTATAATTGTAAATCAAAATAAAATGAATCCTGTAATTGTAAATTATTTTCTATAATTGTAATAAAAATAAAATGAATATCATATATTTGATTTATACCTGGGGTTTTCACTGTGAAGTTCAAAATTTATTCAAAAACAATGTTTCAAGATAATATTCAGAAAATAGTAATTGTTCAGTTATGGTCCCACAATTTTTATTAAAAGAAATATATTTAGGTATTTATTATAAAGATATCTTTGCTATATTCAGTGAATACAGGGATCAACCACTTATTGCCTTTCATGATGAATCTTATTTCACAATATCCAGAACATGTGAATATCAATACTAAGGGAACTTGGATATTGTGTATTAAACTGCAGGTCCTTTCTCCTTGTTTACTTTCTACTTCGGATCTGTATGTGGTACTTGCCACAAGGATGCTTGGGATAGCATTAAAGTCATATCTAAAAATATCATGATCTCTTTCAACGAAATAATAAGTATATTTGTGAGCTTTCGTTAGATCATGGTTCAACTGCACTAATAGACGATCCCCAACCCAACCACATCAGTTAGATCGGCAGTTCTAAGATGATACAAACCAAATTGTCCCATCACCATAGCATCAAAATCCAGTTATAGGAAACAATTATAGACTAAATTTTATGATCTTTATATTTACAGTTATATCTTGTATTGTTTGAAGAAGTTAGACCATGATCTAACGAAAGCTCACAAAGATACTTATTACTTCGTTGAAAGAGATCATGTTATTTTTACCTATTTTAAACTCAGTCAATAAAATTTCAATATTCCTAGAAATTGAGCAACGTCAGAGACCACATGCTGATAAGACATTGGTCCCACGCAATACTAATATTATTTACAGTTATTAGAGAGTATGTATGCGTTTTTTAATTAAGTTACATACATGGTTTTGAAAATGGTGTCGAAAGACGAACAATATACGTCATGAAACTCTTATCAAACTAACAAGTTTCGCTTACTGACATCTACCCAGGAGAAAATAATATATGAGTAATGAGGAGATTGCACAATCGGATAATCTATCGTAATAATATAATGTTCATTCCTCCGAGAGCTAATTTATTTATAAAGTGTGTTATTTATCAAGAGTGTGCTGTACAAGCGAATTGTTTTAAAAAAATAGGATATTCGAATATATTGAATAAGTTATATACAAATTAGTTAATTCTTGATAATATTATTGAGAGAAATAATTAGATTATGTTCATTCAAACATTTCTCATTTTGAGCTTTATTTCATGGCCGGACAAAAATAAACTTTCCATAAATTCTGACACTATAAAAGTAGAGAATCTATCAAAATAAAATTAGCAAACTATTCTGCATTACTGGATTTAAAAATGATTTGGTCAAATTTTTCTGTTGAACATGACACATATTCAATATGCCATAGTCAGAAATGTTATTTCATAATGTATTCGGAATAGTGAAGTAATCTGTTTTGGCCCCGTCATAAAATAATTTATATGGGTGATATACACGAACTCAAGTCTTCAGTGTATTGAACTACTCGAAAACGATTACTTTGTAACAACAACCCATATGTTAAGTTTTTATTTCAGAATCTTATAAATGTGAAACAAAATCATGGTATAAAATGCATGTGTAGGCTGTATGTTTATTGAATCATTATTAATTTGAAAAACATTGATTAGTCGACAATAACAGAGAATTTACACTTTTACTTTTTATAACAAATAAAAACTAAACTCTTTATAACGTTTATCAGTTATTAGTTGTGAATTTAATGATTCCTATTCACAATCAGGAACAGCACCAAAGTTCATTCACCCTAGTAAAATAATATGGAGCCAAATGCTATGATGATTCACAAAGCCAGATAAAGGTAATAAAATGAATTTCCTGGTACGCTTCAACATTTTTTTTAATGAGCGCTTTGTGAACCGAATCAGCTATTTATTATCATCTTTTTATGAGGTATTTTACAGTAACACTCTGAACAGCAAATCTTTCAAATTCAATGCATGAACATTATTTCAATTTTCACTTCATTTTTAATAATGGTGTCAGAAGTTGAAAAAAGGTTATTTTTATGTCTGACCATGAAATGTAAAATGCTGGCGAAAAAACTTCACATAAATTCCTCATAAAATCGAGAACTACCAGTATTTATATCAAACAAAAGCATTTTCGAATGTATTCAATTAGGCCTATTCGATTTGTTTTGGACAATATGAAATGCGCCATACCCTTTGTTTGGAAGGATGACAAACTGTATTAAATAGAAACACTAGTGTTACTCTTACTCGTTACACCATTGTGTTGAAACAACAAAGCAAACAAAACACAGACATTCAAGTGATAGTTCTGAGAAAAGAAACAACAACTTCACTTTATTTCCATATTGATATTAAGATAAGTAAACTTCCTAAGAATTCTATATCTTGGGGTTCGATATTGAAATAAGAATTGAAGAGTTTATTCAAATATTGTTTTGTTGGTTTTCTAATTTTTACAGTTATCAGAATCCAAATGAAGTGTTTTTGGTCTTCAAAAAATATTCTATAATATTTTAAATTCAAGAATATCATTACATCAGTCATACTTATTAATCAAGTACAGTGACTTTAAAACTAGACTGAAAATTTGATTTTTCAGAATTTGAACTTGTTGTAGAATAGTCAACAGAAATTTAAATGGATGTAATTGATTTTGAAAACACATATTGACAACCATGAACTAATTGGCTTATTCTAGCTAAGTAGGTTGATTACACTAATTAATTTTTAAAAGCCAGCTGTGAAATATAAACATCTATGCTCAGAAGTAAGAAGTTGATTTTAAACTTTACAGCGATTTAATTGAAATTTCTTCCATTTATTCACCCAGAATAGTTTAAATGAATTTTATGCTTTTTAGAACTTACCGTACTACCGGTAATTACTATTTTATTGGTATAATAACAAAAAAAGAATTTCTATATATTCAGGTACAATTTAACTACTTCAATAATATCATTGCAAAATAAAATATCAATAATTCCGGTATGGAACTCAATACTCATAGAGTTCATTTACAGATAGTTTGATATTCTTCATTTCTATTTTCAATTTTACATATTTACGTATTTACATAATGAACGTCTTCTTAGTATAATTATGACAACATTTGAAAATTATAATTTCACTGTAAATATTCCAAATTTTGAAATTGACAGTAAATTTTATGAAATCATTCTGAATATACATCGTTTTTGGAAAGGTGTTTTGAATTTTTACTACAATTAATTTTCTCTTGCCGTCTATTTACATCAATAAAGAAGACAAAAAAAATTGTTTGTGGGGTATTTTCCAACAGAAATTGTTCTTCACCACTCACCCGTTCAATACTTCGAATGTCGGATAATAAATCTTTGTTATGAGGAAGGAGAAAACCTGTAGGCTATATAGGTGAAATATTATGTTTAAACATGAAAAAATCTAACTCTATCACCTAAATTTGTACTGTATCAGGGATGGCCATAACCGAATACTTAACTATTTCGAATACAATCTATTGAAATATCTTTGAATCTGGAATTCCAAATACATTCGCAATTCCCAAATTTACTTTTCTAAATCCAGGGACTTAGGAATTAGGCTTTAATAATATTACCATTGTAAAGCAGACATAAATAGAAAGAAAAAAATCTGTTTATAGGGAACTTTCCAACAGAAATTGTTCTCCACCAACGCGTTCAATACTCCGAGAGAAATACCACAATTCTGATAATAAATCATTGTTATATGGAAGGAGAATTCTCAAACATGCGTGAAAAACGTTAAACAAAAAATCAAACTCTATCACCTAGATTAGTACTGTATATTCTCATAACACTTTAATTATCAATCTACATTCTTGGTTCAAATTTATTGAATTTTGCTCACTAGTGTGTTATTAATACCAAGCTCATTATTTACAACTCCTTTACCAGTAAAGTGGAAATATTCCTGATGTGATGACATTAATATAATCAAGTTGCAAGGTAGAACTTCATGGTGGTCCTATTATTTAAATTCCCAGTGGAGTTGTTGACAAACAAGAATCATGAATATGGTATTTGAGACATAAAGCATTATTTGACTTCATTTTCATCAATTCAGAAAGAAGTATTCATTATATGTGTAGAAAGTTTAAAAAGATTTTTTCATAACGAAGAAATGTCAAAAATCAGAAATGTAACTTCGTAAATTATCTTGGAATGGGGAAAATTTTTTAAAGATATTATTGCAAATGTATATACTCAAATACGATAATTACTTCACCCCGGCCTAAATCGTATGTATTCAGTCTATTACTAATCGAGTTATGATTTATTGAAGGCCAATGACCCCGATGGTAAACTTGAAAGTTGAAATAACATCCATGTTAAGCCTATCCCATGTTAACAAATATGCCAATCCTATTTTATTCAAAAAATGTAAACATTTGCCGATTTATGGCGAAGTTTTTATGAAGTGAATAAAACCGTGAATACAAATATTATAAAATCAACCACTAAATGTGAATTTAATACACATGGAACGAGCCGTAACGAGTGCCATGTTATTAGTGTAACAGTATAGCATCGGGTTATATTACATTCATATTGTGAAATGATTTGATGTTAGGCTTATATAATAACTACAATTTACTGTAAGATAGAAAGAACATTGCTGGATACTGATATAAAAGCATGGATTTGAATAAATCTTGGCAATGTTTGATAATAAGTAGCCTAGCCTGTTAAAAATTAATTCCTTCCAAATTTGTGCCATCTATGGGTACTAATACCTCAGTGGCATTTAGGTTTAAGTCCGCACTTAGCATTGCCTCTTTTAGTAAAAAACCTTTACCCTGTC